AAGAAAGAAAGAAAAAAAAAGAAAGGAAAAAAAAAAAGAAAAAACAAAAAAAACGTTTCGATGTTTCGACGTTTCAACATTTCCCTTCGTTTTCCACGCGGCTCGCTCGAAACGAAGCGCAAAACCGATTATATCTACGTATTTGTCCGTCATGGAAAATACGTTTCCAAGGTTTGTCAAAGTCGTGATCGAAAAAAAAAAAAAAAAACTAGGCTGGAAAAACCGAGGAGGGAAAATTTCGACCAGAAGATTCTCGTTCCTCCTCCACGAGAGAAGTGGCGATTGAATCAACGGAGAAAGAAAACAAAGGTAAAACGAGTGAAAAGGAGTGAAAAAAGGAGAAAAAAAAAAAATAGGAAAGAAATGAATTTTCTATACAACGAAGCGGCAAATATTTGCAACATCGTCGTCGAGAGCCTCGATAATACCTCGGCAATCGACGAGATACGGGACGAAAGGTCGAAGCTCGAATCTCGTTGATCGATTTATTTCCGAGAGAGAAATAGAAAGAAAGAGAAAAAGAGAGAAGGAGAGAGGGGGGAGGGGAGGGGAGGGGAGGGGAGAGAGAGAGAGAGAGAGAGAGAGGGAGGGAGGGAGGGAGGGAGGGAGGGAGAGGGAGAGGGACGGAAGAAGAACACCGGTCCGATGATGGAATTTTTGAAATCAATTACCGCCCCTCCCGAGAGCGAAATGGCCCGTTAATACAGCGATATCCGGTAATCCGATCAACAAGGATCAATTGGCCGAGCGCGTTTAATTATCCAATTCCGTTACCCGATATCCAATTGACAACGTTCCATTATGCTAATCATTTTTACGACGAACGAACGAAAAAACGGGCGGAATTTTTCGCCGAGAAAAACAGGAATTTCAATTCTTGTTGGAAAAAGTTTGAAAAGAGCCCTTCCCTCGTGGAGAAAATCGGATCGATGGAAAAAGTATCGCGACGTTAATCGCGATGAAGAAACAAAGGAAATCGTCCGTGAGATTCGTAATTCCGTGTATTACGAATCGAAGCGATTGGAAAGCAATATCCGGCTTAATAGCGAGAATCTTAATCGATATCTTCGATTCTTCTCCTGGGGAGGAGGAGGAGGGGAGAAAAGGAAATTCGCGGTAGCTATTTGTACCAATCGATGGCATACGTATATCCCAACAACGATTGTTCGCGCGAGATCGAGGTTATTTACATCGAGGTTACCCCGAGTAATTAAATACCAAGGAAATCTCTCTTTGCCGCGTTCCCCCACACTCTCGCCCAATCCTACAGTTTCAAACTCGAGAGAGAACTTTATCGAACGGGAGGAGAACAAACACCTCTTTCCAATTGACAATGTTCTCCGGCTGTTATCTTGGAATCACTTTTAAACGAAAAATCTCTCCTCGATTTTTCACTTCCGTGTTATCTCGATCCTCAAAAAACCGCTCCTCAAAAAGAATCTCTTAAGACCGAGACCCGATTCCTCGAGGATTATCACTTTTTACTGATGATAAGAGAGAGAGAGAGAGAGAGAGAGAGAGAGAGGAAGGGGGTCGTTTTCCGCCACGCCTCATTGTTCGCCAAACCGAGATGAAGCATTCAACAAGTAAATTCTTCGATCGAACGATCGTTAACTTCCTCCAACTAGGAAGGAAACCAGCCCTTTGAAATCCATTTTCCAAGTCAAACATCGGGACAAACTCGATCCAAGGTGGATACGTCTGCCTTAATTATGGAGCTGCTTGGCAAATATAAAAATTTCAGCCGCTTCCGAGCTGGATCGAGAGACGAGAAAACTTGCGAGATACTCGCAGAATTCGCCAGCAAACTTGGCCAAATTCGTCGAGTAAAAGTTGCGTAACTCGTAATCCGCCGAGCTTCGTTCACGATATTTACAACGATGCGATCCGATGCGAGTTGAATAAATCGGCGGTATACGAATTTAATTGACCGAATTTGCTAATCTCGTCCATAAGACCGTCTACTCCAAAGATTTATGCGAGTACGCGAAATGGAACAACGTCTCTTCCGTTCCTTGGAGATACTTTAATCCTTCTTCAAAGCGAGGGGACGGTATACCTAAGTGTAGCGTGGAAGAATGTCAAGAATAAGGGGGGAGCTAAGAAAAATGTAAATTTATTCCTCTCGTCTGGGGACAAGCGAGATGCATTTTCGGGTCGCGTGACGATAGAGAAAATCCTAACCCTCTTTTGCGCTGCTACTTTGCGAGGTTAACGAAGGACCCTCCTTGCCTCGTAACTTGAGAGACTGATAATGAGGGTTGTTGTTCACGAAACTCCGACGACGTCTAAATACTTGGTGAAAATATACTCGTTCTCCCTTGCTACCAATCTATTTTACGAAAAGAACTTGAAAATGTCTCAAACATTTTCAACATAAATCTTCGCGATTATTCCGTAACGCGTAATAAATAAAGCACGATCGTAATAAAATAAAATAAAAAAATTAATTAATTCGCGAATTAAAAATCGCGTGTTTATTTATTCGATTCGTGAAGACAAAAGAGAGAAAAGAAAGTTAAAAATTAGAGGAAGGCGGAAGTGGTTTTTCATGTCCCGAGACGTGTCAACTACGAGGCCTTCCCCTCCCCTCCGACTCGATAATTATCTGGAACGTAAGGGTTGAACAGCGTCGGTTCGTTAAATCCGGCGTGTACGCAAGAGTTGAAGGAGAGTCAAGGGTGCACGTGCACCACGGGTTTTCCCGCGGGATTGTGGCCAAGTTGCGAGGAGAGGACTCGGTCTGGTCTGCTACCGCTCGCCTCTCCGTCGAGCGAATTACGTCGCGAGTCGACGATGAAAGAAACCGAGCGGAAATGGAAATATACATGTATTATACGAGTTAATGGGTCAAACTTGAAACTACCGCGTTTTCGATACTCGATCGTGTGCTTAATACGAATCAGTTTGGAAAATGTAATAATTTCGCGTAATATTGAAAAAACGACTACATCGATTTCGAAGCAATTAAAACGTATTATAACCCGTTAATAGAGAGTACGAATAATTTTGAAAATGAAATATTTTTTTTTAGAATTTCAATTTTAAAATGTAAATTTTTAGCGAATTCCTGTTACGCGATTTAATATTTTATAGTTGATATATACGCAGAATCATATATTGAAAGTAATTTTAAAATTGAATATTGTTATAAATACACCTGTCAAAGATTTCATTTAGTTTCGAAAACATGAAAACTAGATTTTATGTTCCATTCATTCTAAAATATTACGTGTTAGTGTATCGTTATATTTCGTTCTATTTGTTTTCTTCTGAAAGTGAGCATTTCCATTATGTTAGCCGACTTATACAATATGACGCAAGGTCACGTTTATCCTTCGAGACTCGGCCATATATTTCTATACCATATTCAGTCAACAAACGCATAACTGTTTCATACTGTTAAATACAAATACACACCCTCGTAAATATTCTTACTGTAACGACGCAATTGCGCAGCGAACAATTAACAACACAGAACAAAATGTTATTCTAATACGTCATAGTATTAAGTGAGCAAGTTTCAAAAGAGTACGTTTGAACTACTAAAACAAATCATTGTTAATACGAATTATGTTTGCTTCGCAAAAGCAATAATTTATAATTGTATCGTTAAAATCCGTCGTCGATTCTGAAAGCGAGATTTTGAAACACAATACTCAGAAACGTAAACAAAATTTCTATCGACGTACTCGACAAAACATCCTCCATTGTTACGATTACAAAAAATGACGCGTTATTCTACGCAAATTAATTTTACGCAACTAACCTCATAACATTTACTTCTATAACGAATCTCGATTCTATGCGCGAAAATGATTATGTATTTTATTTGCTATGATAAACGAGAAACGATAATTTGATAATTTTACGCGATATGCGCATGAAAATAACGATATAAAAAGAACGATATAAAAATGTAACTTACCGGTGGCGACAGTAAGAGCGATCAGCAAGCAAAAGATCGAAATGGAGAAGATACCGCGTCGATCCATGCTTCTTTACAGAAGAAACGTAGCTCGTCGCACGTTGAAACTGGATCACTTCATCGCCACTCGCAAGAAAAGTGTCAGAAACAAGAAAATATACACGCGCACACGTGAACAATACGAAATATTACGAACAGTGATAACGGAAGAAAAATGTCACGCGAACTCACAGGCTTGATGGTCGAGCGTGTACTGACAGGTCTTCGTAGCGTCGCGTGCTCCCACCACCTGATCCCCACTCCGACCAATCACAATTCCCTCTCCAGCTTCCTCCTTTGCCCCGCAACGAGCGTAAGTTCTTCCTCGTCTGACCAACTATGTGTTTTCTCTACTGAAACTACTGGCACGGTCTATCGCGTCACTGCTTACAGTTCTCAACAATCGATGGCGCTATTTTCATCATAGAATATAAACTTTAAAATTAGGAGGTAATTAAGGATAATTACAAATTAATTAACAAATAAAGGATTAATATAATATACGCTTTGTATTCCGAAATATTATTAATCGGATATTAAATTAAGGAAAATTTCCTGCAAAACGCGTTTGCGCGAATATTGACTGTAATTTTTTCACGAACCAACGTTTCGAAAGCATAGGAAGAGAAAAGTTTATATAACGTTACATTAATACCAACTCACAATCTCGATCGGAATACACGTTTTCAGAGGTTAATCTGCTTACGTTAGATGAAAATTGTTCAAATAAGCATGATTTAAATTCGTATTAGTATACGTGTTTCAAATATTCGAATGAAATTTTATTCTTTATTTATGAAATAGCCATTTCGCGTCAAATGCAAGTAAATTCCTATTAACTTGTAAAATGGTTAACGTGAAATAAAATTGTATCTCGATATGAAATAAACTGTTATTCGAATAAAAAATTGATTTAATTGCAAAACATATAAATATAAATACACACGTATAAATCGTTTCACCTAGTTTCTCTGTGTTTGTTATATGAATAAAATTTTTCTCTAATTCACCATTATATATGCGTTTGCTCGACCATTTTTTTCAAATATTTTTCTTCAACGATAGAATCTTTTTTCTCGAGAATCGAGAAGTAAAAATAATTTAGAAGCATAAAAATTTGATCCAATACTTGTACTTTTGATTGTACTAATAAATTACGACATATAGATACGAAATATTCCGGGAAGAAGAAATTTGAACTAATATCGAAACGATGAGACGGTCGCTACATTCAAAATGGCAGAGTGAGAAAGATGGAACGGAAAAATGGATTGATGAACGAGTATGAACAAGACAGACAGGCAGCTCATACGCTACAAGAAAATAAAAGAAGCAACGACTCGCTTCCCAACGTAATATATTTCGCGCACGACAAAGGCAATAACATTGATTTATTATTTCTTCGTGGACAAGAAAAAGATAAGAGATCGGGCATACAAAAACGGAGCATAGACTTTATACCGGAGAGAGTTAAAGACTTAAAAAAAAATGGAAGAAAATTTCTTCCTTTCCATTCGAAAATTGAAACGTAATTGAAAATTTATTCGTTATAGCTGGAACATGATTACACGCTCTATTCTCAGAGGATCGATTCAAGTTTTCTTGACAGATTCTCTATAATCTCGTTTGAATGACGTAACGCTTCGATCGCGTTGACACGAAAAATAAAAATGATGGGATAAAAATATCGTACGTTTTTTTTTTTTTATACTTTTGGTTTGAAAAATAAATCTATAAAATCTGTTTCGAAATAGATTTTCTAACGGTAACCCCTCGATTGGCTATTGTTGTAGAAAATAACAGATATATCGGGCTGCTCGATTTATACGATTGAAAACAGGGGAATGAAATTAATTCACCGCTCTATAACTTTATTTTATAGAGGATAATTAATTAATTTTATCACACCTGGACAGACACCCTTTTAATCGATTTATAATCAAAACAATAACCGTCGAATTTTCATTCGCGCATCCTGTAAATAGAATTTATTGAAATTCGTCGGCTTTCCGTAGTTTGATCATTTTCGTAACCGCAATAGTTACCACCATTCCACGTTGAAGCTTCAATATTGTTTCATCACCCCGTAATATTTATCCATCTCGTTCATCGATCGGTGTCCAATTAACCAACCATTTAAACGATTTCTTTGCAACTCGCAACGATATAAAATTCATTTTACATCAAATCCGGGGGATGATTAAAAATTGACTTTCAATAATTGATCGAGTAGGAGTATAATTGGTAATGCAATATGTAATTAGCCACATTGTAAACGTTTCGAACTCACGTTGCCGGCCGTTGCGTTACCACAGGGCAGATTGTAAACGAGAATCATGTGCCAATTATCGTCCCTGCTGTTATTATTGCGCCCACGTAAAATCAAGTGCATTCCATATATATATATACGTGTATCGCGTTATTTAATTACATCTCTTTACGATATGATTTAATTAATAGGTCTATCATCGATGCACACATACGCACACATATATATATATATATACCAGCTTTTTATTAATAATTGACCATTAATGCAAACATATGTATACTGTCTGGCAAAACGTTGACTAGCACTACTTACGCCAATCGTAAACGCGTTCAAGATCCGAAGTTTGATTATTCTCAATGCGTCATCTCTCCAACGATGATCTCCTCGTCGTAAACGAGATCGAAATCGAATTCGACTTTACTATTAACACCAAAAAATGACTTTTTTACGATTTAATTAATAGATCTATCATCGATACACACACATATACATAGTATATACGAGCTTTTTATTGTTATTAATAATTGATAATAAAAAACATATACTGTCTGACAAAACGTTGACTAGTATTACTTGCCTATTACTTGCCAATCTTAAACGTGTTCAAATCCGTTTGATTATTCTCAAGCGTTTTCAATGCGTCATCTCTCCATAATCTCCTCGTCGTAAACGAGATCGAAATCGAATTCGACTTTACTATTAACACCAAAAAACTACTTTTTTACGATATTTAATTAATAAATCTATCATCGATACACACATATATATATACCAGCTTTTTATTAATAATTGACCGATAATGCAAACATAATAATGCATACTGTCTGGCAAAACGTTGACTAGCACTACTTACGCCAATCGTAAACGCGTTCAAGATCCGAAGTTTGATTATTCTCAATGCGTCATCTCTCCAACAATGATCTCCTCGTCGTAAACGAGGTCGAAATCGAATTCGACTTTACTATTAACACCAAAAAACTACTTTTTTCCTTTCCATTATTTTATTTAACCAAACAAACGTTAATAATATTTGGTGCACCGAGTATTACATAATACTCGAGTCCACATAATTTCGAACAATTTCCCTTATTGAATAAAAGTAGAAAAATGAGAGATGAAGGGAGGGAAGCGAGTCCGAGTTACCGAGTTGAGATATTTAGGTTGAGACAGGTCTCAAAGAAGGGGGGNCGTAAACGAGATCGAAATCGAATTCGACTTTACTATTAACACCAAAAAACTACTTTTTTACGATATTTAATTAATAAATCTATCATCGATACACACATATACATCATACCAATTTTTTATTAATAATTGACCGATAATGCAAACATATGTATACTGTCTGGCAAAACGTTGACTAGCACTACTTACGCCAATCGTAAACGCGTTCAAGATCCGAAGTTTGATTATTCTCAAGCGTTGTTTCATCTCTCTGACGATGGCAGATCTCGTCGTAAACGAGATCGAAATCGAATTCGACTTTACTATTAACACCAAAAAAACTACTTTTTTCCTTTCCATTATTTTATTTAACCAAACAAACGTTAATAATATTTGGTGCACCGAGTATTACATAATACTCGAGTCCACATAATTTCGAACAATTTCCCTTATTGAATAAAAGTAGAAAAATGAGAGATGAAGGGAGGGAAGCGAGTCCGAGTTACCGAGTTGAGATATTTAGGTTGAGACAGGTCTCAAAGAAGGGGGGGGGGGGGGATTGGACGAAACTAATTATACTTACATCAGCACGCACACACACACACACACACACACACAGAGCGTGTTAAACGAGATGGTGGCCAGGACGAAGTTACTTCTCCCTGCTACGTAACTTCTCGTATCGTGCCCTGCAACCTACAACTTCCGGCTTATTCCAACCCTATGTCTGGACGATCCGTCCAACTTTCGGAACGTGTTCCCCGTTACGCTAGGGACGAATATTTCCGCTCTGAGCGTAAGACTGGAAAGCAAAACGGTATAAGCTTAGATCGCGCCCTGTCGCGTTTATCTTTTGCTCCGACAGAAGAAGAAGAAGAGGGGAGGAAGAGGAAAATAAGAGGAGGGGCAAAGGACATTCGCGCCGTGGAATTAAGCTCGTTTATCGTCCGGGGATTGAGACTCATCAGGATTTAATATTCCGCTCTTTTTTCTTCTTCTTCTTTTTCTTTTTTATTTTTATTCGTCGGAGGGATAATAGCACGGAGGAAACAAGGAAAAAAAAAAAGGAGGAAGGAGAATCCTAGAAGAGACGGTAATTAAGAAATTGATGAGACGACCCAATTCCCTTCCCTTTCTGCTCCTTTTTATTCTTTTCTCACGACAAAAGGAAAGCCGGACTTGTGTATAAAAGCGCGCGTCGCGGTGTTTCTGAATATTCAGCGAATCCTCATTAAATGCAAAGGAGCTACGAAACCGGAAGGAGCGTCCTCTGGCGGAGAGTTTCGAACTAAATAGAAAAGTTTCTACCAGCCTCTCTCTCCATAACCGCTCTCTAAAAAACATCCAATCCAATGTGTTCAATGGAATAATATTATTATAAACGACACGCGTGTTGCTCCTCCTCTCCTCTTTCCTCCTTCGTTCCTCGTTCCGTTTATCCGCTCTTTGTGCGAAATTCAAAAATTGAATTTCCTCGAGGGAAGAGAGAAGAGCAGAGTTTCTCGGCTAAATACTCGCGTCACGACGTCGCATCTTTGTGCAAACTGTTTCATTTATCGCCCGATGAATTATTTACCTTCTTCCATTCTTGCTCGCCATTTTATCCCCATTTGGCAAAAGTTGCCCGATGATTTATCCGAGAAACCTCTTTCCTCCTTCTTTTTTCCAATCCTCTTAAACATTGTCACGGAATAATCGCTGACAAAAAGCAAGAATTATATCCATCCAGCTCTCTTCGAAGAAGAGAAGAATCTCTTCGGTTATCCAACGAAATGCGTTAAACGAGGAAGAACCGAGGGAGAAACGTGGGCAAGTCGGAGGATACGTTCGCTATCTTGCCGGGTCAGCTAACTTCCGGTTACTCTACTTTCGACTAACGACCCATCTAAGTTGGCTTGATGCTCAAAGAGTGAACACCGGAACGTCTGTCGCAATGCCGGCGACGATGCAATTACTCGAGCGTACCACGCCCCCTCTCCCCCCTCCCCACCCGTGCGACTAGCAATTTCCAGTGATGACGTTAACGAGAGCCCGCCCCCTATATCCCGAAAAGGATGCAATCTTAATGAAATTGTCAATTGCCCGTCGTTTCTCAAATTTTCGGGGATCGCCGTTTCATTTTTTTTCATTGCCGAGGATAAAAAATCGTAATAATAACAACGTTTGAAAATTTTGTTCAACTGTTCGCAGTGATAATAATATCCAAAATTTCCGAAATGGCGGATTTTGAATTTCGTTCTGTGATTCGCGCAGTCGATCGTTACATCGATCGTCCGATCAATTATTAGCTCGTACCACTGGCGGGGAATGTATAATTCGGATAAGTTGCCAATGAATCGGATTGATTAAATGACTCTGTGATTTTTAATTATCCATCGAATCCGTATTCGAAGAATGCGCGTGACAAAAGTCGAAATGGAACGAGACAAAGCAATAATAATCTGTTACGTCTTCAACTCGAGGTGCCAATTTTTCTTTTCCGATTAAAATTATTATTTCAGGTGAAACAATTAAAATCTCAACAATTGTTACAGAATTTACAAAAGGAATAATCTAACATTTTATTTTACTTTTATTCTTTATTACTTGATCCAAAGAATCTTCCCGACGATTCATTTTACATAAAAATTTCATTCACATTTTGCGACTTTTCTATATACCTATATACGAAAATTTTAATAAAGTGCTTCTCGAGTTCGAGTTTGCGAGGCAGCTCGCCAAGTATCTGCTTTTTAAAAATTTTACACACGATATTAACAGGTGAAATAGAACAAGGTCTCGTTTAATTAGATCAGCTTTTAACCGGGTCCCTTTTTTAATTGGCGATCAACAAGAGGGAGAGGGACGGAAGGTCTCTGAGAAGAGGTGGATAAAAGGTGCAGTCTGTACGAAAGTTTCGATATCACGACTGGAGAGCATTTGTGGACGTTTCGAGGCATTAGGCGGTGCAATTAACACCGTCGTCCATCGACACCCGCAAAGTCCATTACGGATCCCATCCTTGCCCCCACCCCTCCTGTTTTCCTCGGCCCGAGTATCGTCGACCCGCCATCTACCGGGCAAAACTCCGATTAAACTTTGCCGCCAAGAAAAGAAACACGAATCCTCCAAGTAAATCGAACGAGAGGATATCGTTGAAAGATTGCGAAATTCGCTTGGTATTGGCGAAATAATCGCTGCCTTCGTATCTTCTTTTGTCACGCGTGATTCATCTTCGAATACGAGGATGGATAATTCGATGGATAATTAGAAATCACGGAGTGATTTAATTAATCCGATTCATTGGCAACTTATCCGAATTATACATACAAGAATTTTAAACCAGAGAAGGAGCGTGACCAAGGAAAACGAAATATCACAATGGAACTCTTGCTCGAGTTCCATATTTCGGCCAGCACTTTTTTGTCCCCGAAACAATCCGACGAGCGAGAAACTCGACACTCGACTCGAGTCGAGAACTTTCAAGCATTCGAATAATCTCGTCTTGGGGGAAAAAGAAAGGAGAAGAAGAAGAGAAAACGAATTTCTCCGTCCAAGTGAAAAGTCGAGGAGATGAAAAGGGAGGGGATCTTTCTCGACGCAACGTTGAGAAGTTGGCCAGAAATCGAGCGATGAGTTCGATTTGTTGCGAGATTACGAGCAAGGGAGAGGGGGAAGTGGATAATGGCGAGTCGGTTAACTGGACGGATGGAGGGGGAAAAAAAGAAAAGAGAAGGAAAAGGATCGATTCTTCTCCTTGGTCCCCGCGTATCTTTATTTCCTTTGTCCTTTCTTTCTCTCTTCTTTCTTCTAACGTTTCTTCTATCGTCTTGATAGCATCTTTGTGAAGCTCTCTCTCTCTCTCTCTCTATATATATACATACATCCTTTGAGATATTTCTCTATTCAATTCTGGTTGACGCGTCGATTGATACCGCTCAGGGGAATCCAATATCAGCATATAGCCAAGATAGTTGCGCGTTTTGATCGATGGAACATGTCCAGTGGAGATAGGTTGATTTTTGCTCGGTGAGAAGATGAGAGAAGAGAGGAAGAAGATCTTTGTGGTTACGACAATCTTATCCGATTGATTGTGCTTTTTTCGATTCGAAACACGGGGGAAGCCACACGATTCGCGCTGGACGAGAGAAGCAGTGCAGTGCAACGCCCCTCCTCGGCTGAAACAGATATTTACGGAACAATTGTTTACCCAACGGAGCGAAACACTGACAAAATGTAGCGATATTAATTCCATTTCCCATCCCCGTTCAAAGGATACACCGTTTGTAAACCGTTATCGAATTATTCCATCGGTTTCTTTGTCCCGCAATTTCGATCCCGATTTGAATAATAACGCGTTAGTCGTTGATTAAAATTTGGCAAACGGAAAACGGGCAAACAAATTTTTCGAACGTCGAGGAACATCGCGGATGAGAAACTTTTATATAACTTCCTTTCTTCTTTTTTCTCTCTCTCTCCTTCTTTCCCATCCTCCCAGGCCTCGAAGTTAACATAGGCGTAGAACGTGCGAGTTTAAGCTGACGCGATAGTTTCGTTACCACCGTAGGTTCGTTAGGAATTTAAGGAAGATTCGGTAAAAAAAATTCGTTAATCCCGATTTCTCGCCTCCCCTCGTCCATTGTCGCGTACGATTGAACGTAGCCTCGAAGAATCGAGGGGAATTTCGAGTAACGAAGGAAAATGGGATTCTTCGATCGCAAATCGTTACGCGAGCCGACGTATCTTTTCATCGTTGTGTCTTTTCGCTTGAGGAGGCATTTCGTGATTTCAATCTGTTGTTACTCGTCCAATTGCAAATTGGACGAAACGTCAGAGGTAGTAGAATCGATTAACGATTGCAGCTGCATCCGATGGTTCGTGTCTATTCTACTCGATGATGGCTTTTCAAAACGCGCATACGGCATTCAACGCAACGTCGCCTAGAATGAAATTCCATTCTCCTTTCGAGCTTTGCACCCTTCGAACCGATCTCTGCGCGAAATTGCTTAATTTCATCCCTTACTTTCATTTTTCGACGCTGGAAGCACGATCATATTTCACGCTTTCCAATTACCTATCTCCGTCCCGTTTCAACTCCCCCCTCCACGCCACTGCGCTCTTCTCAGATCTTTCCATTCCCACGATCCTCTTCTCTCATTCTCCTACATTCCTCCGCCCAATCTCGCGCTTTCATTTCGTAACATCAACTTTAATTTTTTTTTTCTTTTACACAGAAAAGATCACTCGTTTACTCGTGAGTATCGTATGCGAGATAACGCAACGACATGCGGTGTTGCAAGGAGGCAAGGAATCGGCGGTATACATGATATTATGTATGACGCGTGGCCGGTGGATCGATTTAATTGTGACGAGACTAGTCGTCGCGGCACGCACTCGAGTGTGCAGACGCGCAGCGCACACCTGCTGCGAACTCTGCAACCGTTTAATAAGCTCTGTCTCGCAGAGTTGAAATTTCATACCGTGTTATAACGAGAAAGGTTATGATATAAATCCAACCTCCTTTTCCTCCATTTCTTTCTCCTCCTGGATCCTCTTTCTCCATCTCCAATTTCTTTATTAATTATATTTTTAAATGATATTTTTGAGTTCTCTTTAAGTTTCTTGATTGGTTTTCTGGATTTTCTTGGTAACACATTGTTTCTTCAGAGAATCGTGTGCGATGAATTTTCAAAGATGAAGATGAAAATATAAAAACTCGCTTTTCATTCCATTTTATTGTCGTTTAAAATCAATTGTGGTGAAAAAAAAGATCGAGGTAAAAGGTATAAATTTAATCCGCAATAATTGTAGATCTCTGGTGGAAAATTCAGGGAAATTTAATATTTCCAGGCTCAACGCGAAGGAAAACAATTTTTCGCCTCGAGCATAAGCCATTATATAGATTGCAGATTGGATCGACGGAATCGAGCGTTAAACTTCTTGACTTTTCCAATTTTATCGTCAAAAATTTCGACGCGTTTGTATATGGTGGAAACGAATACGAAAAATTCGATGGAAAATCAAAGTGAACAAACGTACTACTAAAAATGGCGTGATAATAATCGTTTATTATAAATAACTATTAACACATTCTCCTGTCACGTACATCATCTTATTTTGTTTCGTTTCGTTCATTGCTTAGGAATCCATGCAATAGTATACGTTACATTGGAGCATTTTATTCAGTTACTTCGGAATTACAAACATTTACTTGTAATGCGATATAATTATTCGTGTGACGATTATTTACAGAAAGAACGATCATCGGTACTGGTGATGCAATTCGACCAGTAATTTTACAACTAACCGTAATTATTCGCTGATAAGAGAACGGGACAATACTATACGAGCAGGAATCCAAGCGTGGCCGCGTTCAAAATTTCGCGACACAACTTTGGGATTGCTGCTTCCTCGATAATGCCATCGTCGTCAGTTTTTTTATTTTTGTTAATTATATCAAATGCAAAAGGGTATTTCGTTTTACCCGAATGTCCATAGTTTGTTCCTTTTATCTATGAAGAATTACAGGACTTCGTAGTACCATCCTTTCTTCGTTTCGTTTTTTTTTTTTTTTTTTTTTNTCGATCGATTCGATTCATGTTTGGAAAGGAAAAAAAAAAAAAGAAAAAAGAAAAGGAAAGGAGAGGAGAGGAAAGAAAAGGAAAGAAAGAAAGAAAGAAAAAGGGAAAGGAAGAGAGAGAGAGAGAGAGAGAGAAAAGAAATGAAAGAGAGGAAACATCGTCACTCGAATGCAAATCTCAATTCTTTTAAAAGTGAAGGCTACTCGATAAAATCTTGGCCTTGTTCTTGGGTTTTCGATGAAATCATGGAAAAAGGAATTCGATGTTGAAAAATATGCATTCACTTTTAAGCCGAACACGTCGTACTATTATTTCCCGTAAAAAATACAATGCGGACCGTAATCGATACAGGCACGATAAATATTAAATCACACTGCGCACACATATCAAGTGCTAACTGCATCATGCATTATGGAGCAATTTTCTGCACTGTTTTCTACTCATAAATCGAGAGCAATGCGATACTGAGCTAAACGGCTGAGACGATTTACTATTATAAGGGGGAGAGAGAGGATGGTGGTGTTAATGAGAAACGAAACTTTAAACGTTGCAACGGAAAAGCGATAACTTGATTCGCGCAAAATTACAGTATATAGGGTACGTCCTATTCGTATTTGCGAGTGACTGTTTTAATATATCAATATATATATATATATATATGTGTATGTATGTATGTATATATATATATATATATGTATATATATATATATATATTTCACGTAGCCGTTCTTCCATAATGTTCGCGTCGTTGTTTTTATTATTTGTTTCGCCGTTTTATTATCAACATCGCCTCGTTTGTTGGAATAAGTGTCGTTTAAAGTCAGTCGCATTGCTATTGGGAGATGGGGGAAGGAAGAGAAGGATAGGGAATTACCGGCTACATAAACGAGGAACACGTATAATAAATATCGAATAACAGAGTTGTTACTTATGATAATACGAAGTAGTAGAATGCAGCGTACATATAATATAGCAGTTGCCACAGAGAGTTACCTACTACGTACGAGTTATTCACATTCATACCGAATTTTTAACCACTGACTATTTCTTGCGCTTTCTTTCTTTCTTTTTTTTTTCTTTTTTTTTTTTTTTTTTTTTTTTTTTTTTTCTCTTTATCGATTCATCCTCGTCCCTTTCACTCGTCGTAACATTCATTCTTCGTATTTTTCCATTTTTCCTTATCTCTTTACACGATTCATTCCGTTATCTCTCGCTCATTCATTTCTTTCTCTTACCAAATTTCTCTCTATCCTCATATATACCACATATACATGCACGCATACGTTTATCCTCTTCGTTTTTCCGAATTATCCTCATTTTTATCGATATCGTCATGTGTTCAACGAAAAGATACAAGTAATCTTTCATTCATCATCTAACCATCCGTCAATCAACTGAAATTTTCCCACGTTACTAGGATTTCCTTTCATTTCCGGTCAGTCCGTTATTTGTCCGTCATAACACAAACAATATAGACTTTTCAAAATGTCCAACAATGTCTATTAACATTCTTTAGCTATTCACACACTTTTGAAACCATCTTCTCCATCTCAACGTCTGTGTCGATGTCGTGGTGTACATGATTACTAGCACTTGCATTGCTCATGGAACCAACAGAGTTATTAATTGGCGTAGAAATTGTGCCAGTTGGAGGAACCGTCGATGCTGGTGGCGTATTTGGGGTGCCAGGAGTGCCGGACAATTCGATCGGTGAGCCTGGTGATGCGAGCGGTTCAACCAAATCTTCCAAGCCTTCAGGAGTTGGTAATTTACTCAATTCTTCCCTCAACAAACTATAATGTCTCTGAGAAAAATATTAAAATATAATTTTACAAAAATTTAATCAAACGTATAAATTATAATAATAGTATACGATTGTAAACGTGTAAAATAGTTAATTACTCTTAAAGCTAATGCATTCAGAGAGAGAGTACGACCAAATCTTCTATCTGATCCGTGTAATTCCATATCTCTTATCCATCTTTCTAATTGTGCAACAATTTCATGTCTCTTTATCCAAAAGTGAGTATGTATGACCTATGAAATAATAATATATTATTATATTAATATAATATTAATATAATATTATATATATTAATATATATTAATAATATTAATATATATTATAAATATTAATATAATATTAGCAAACGCAAATTGTAAATTCGATATTTCGCACAATATGCTAAACAAAATATTAAATGCAATTACCTCTTTAAAACAAGGACATGGATTGCGAATTTGATCAAGCATCGCCCATTTAGCAGTAGCTTGACAAATGTTCGCGTTATACTCTTGACTAGATTGAGCTCCGCTCGTTGTACCTCGCGACCGTTCGTATCCTGGTTCGTTGAAATAAGGCTCTGATACTAAGATCAGCGATTGTATCGATACTAAGACCTGTTTTAATGTTAAAAAGAAAAATTTTTTAACTTAATAATTGAGACTTTAAACCGATTAATATTACCTGAAGGAAACTACTAGTGTGTGCATTCCATTTTTCTTCAGGGCGACCATGCCAGGTATTCAATACACTCAAGCAGACTTTTCCATCGTTGTATAGATTTGGATTAAATCGCACGGTATGACGACCAGTAGTTTCTAGATTTATTAACATCGGACTATTAGGATAATCCGGAGGAAAATATACGTCAAATTCGAAGCATCCGTTTGCGTATGGTGTTTCCGCTGGCCCTGTTATGAGTACCTGAAAAGAAAATATTTCATGTGCAAAAATCGATTAATATTTTTGTTAGTTTTATTTATTTCTTTATTTTCGTTATTATTAATTTTTACAAATTACCTTCATTACGTCTAATCTGTCAGCGTCGCATCTGACGAAAACGCTACTGCTATATGACAATGGCAACGCTGTAGAAAGTGTGACAGCTTCTTGCGCCAATCTCTTCACTCTCGTAGGATGACTTCTTTCTCCAGCTGCCCTCATAGTGGATTCAAAATGATATGAGACGGCAAACTTATATCCACCAGCTTCTGGATTTTCGGTGATCATTTCGTACGTATCTACAAATATAGCATAATATAAAATAATATCACGTGTGTGTTTATCAGATGATAAAAAAAATTATTCCTATTATTCTTACCAAATTGTAAATTTTTCATAACTTCTATGTATCGTTGTTCGATAGAACGTAGAGGTAATTCTGGAGCCGTGGGGCTAGGACCAGGTAATTCTTCTTCGATTCCTGATAACCTAGAAGTGGCATTTTGCACTATGGTAGCACTTTCTTGAATATCTGGAATCAACGTTGCTAAACCTTCGTCCTGTTCAGTATCATCGGGATACTTGAATAGCGTTTTCGATTTATTAGTCCTAGTACGATTAATCTTGTGAACGTACGTATCCACGCAAACCCTCATGCTAGATAGGAGCGATACGACGGACGGTTCACTAGACTTCCCCCTAGGTAACAAGAGCGGAACTAATTGATTCGAAAGGGCCATAGCTCTGAGCAATTGCAGTACAGCGCGATACAAAGGAATGTGCCTCGCCATGTCTAACACCGAATCGTTTCTTAAATATGAAGACAAGGCTGGAAGTAAACACGATCTGGCTAATAGATCGGGAAAAGACGCTGGCAGTTCTCTTTGCGTTTGTCCACCGGAACCAATATAACTTGCTAAAACTTGCAATAATACTGTAACGTGCTCTTCCTCGGATCTCTGTCGCATCAACGCTTGCTCAACGTTCCATGACTGTTGTGTAGAGCCGGTACCAAATCCCGTACCCTTCGCCCAATACAAATGTGAATTATCATCGCTACGACCTGCTTCACCTTGGTTCCCGGTTATTTTTTGCTCCGAGTTGTCGTTCTGATTTGTTTGATGGGTAAATACCGCCAAACAGTTCAACAATAAAAGCATAGCACCCACTTCGATAGTCGTTTTACGCAAAAGAAGACCATCATCGGTGGTCGCGGGTGTAGCGTCGAGTAATTGTTTTAAAACTTGGAATGGCAAAGTTGGTAGTAACGCAGCCAACGGCGATGTTAAAACGTCTCCACCTTCACCGTCGTCTGAAACGCCTAAAGCAAGGCGTAACAAACACTGAGCTCGTTTTCTATCTCTTAATAATACTTCTGCGTAACCAGGAAGTCTAAGGAACAATCCAAAAGCAGCAAGAGAATGTGGAGGAACGTAAGCAGCTGGTGAAGATGCACACGGCGAAGAATTATTTCCACTTTCTTCTATAATTTCAATAGCGTAATCGCTAATCCCTAATTTCACCCATTCTTCGTGGCTAAATGTTTCTTCTGGTGAGGGTAATGGGACGGGTGGTGGTCTAGAATCTGGATATACCAGCGGCAAATATCGTGCTAATACCGCTAAACCACCACCGGCACTAAACACGCCTAGCGAACTTTCTATGCTTCTATAATTTAATAACTCGCTGTCATTTTGTTTCGATACATCCTCTGAAAGATAAAAAATAAAATGTTCATTATTTTAATTGGAATATCATAATCGATACATACCTTTTGAGTCTTTATTACGTTGGCGCAATATAAGATGCAAACAAGGTTCTGATAAAGATATTCCACTATCTTCGGCTATAGCTAACAATTGGGCAATGGTCAATTGTGGTGGTAAAGGAGTATTTGGACGTGATGAATGTATCAAATATTGTTGATTAGTAGAATTGGTAGAATTTTGTTGAACATTATTAGTCGATGTTTTGCTTGTACTTGCTGCTCCATCTATTAACATAAAATTTTAAATAGATAAATTTTATTGTATTTGCATCCCATGTATAATATAATATAGACGATAAATAACTTGCCAGAATTCCCACGTGATTTTCTTATGATAGGACCACGAGCTTGCGACCTATTAGATGCTTCTTTAGCTCTTTTGTCTTTCGCTGTATTTCCAGCAGCTACACTAAGAGTATCTACTATAAAGGCCATACCAGATTCCCAAAGTTCTCTAGAGCGATTATTGTTCGTTCCAGTTTCATTACTTTTGTATGTATTTGGCAACAATAGAAAAAGCCAAGTACCTTTAAAAAAAATATTTCAGATTTAATTACAAATGTATTGTACGTATGATTATTATTAATGGAAGAAAAAAATTTACCAGAGACTTGTTGTAATATATCTGCAACAGTTGATTGAGTAGACATATACAATAATTGATGATAATGACCAAGCGGATGAGCTGGATGTGGTGGCATGGACAACAAACTATAATTGACTGCTGTATTTGAAACTTTCATAGGTGCATCGGAAGTTACGGATACTAATACTTTTTCACCTTCCAATAATAATTGCAAAATTAATCGCCTTGTGAAACCCGAAATTCCATGAAGATAGCGTATATCTGTTCAATAAATGTTTTATGTAATATATGAAATGAAAATAATATGAATTAAAGTATAGTATGAAATAAAATAAATCGTCTTACTTGAAGTCGTTCGTTGTTGAGAAATGACATCTGTTAATAATTCGGCTAATAACTTTTGATTTTCGAGATGACACCAACAACATCTGGATAAAAATTTAATCATTGCACTTTCTAACGATGCATATGAAACACTTGTTTTGGAACATCTGTAAAATACAAAAAGATTTCTATTATCCGTTTTATATATATATGATAACAAATCGTTCATATAAAATTACCTCAAAGAGGATAAAGATGGATTTTCTACAGGTCGATTACTAAGAAGAGAAAGAAGGGGTAACCAAAATCCATACCCTTCTTTTCCAAGCCAATCACGCATTTTACCTTCCGAGCATACAAGTGTTAAAAATTCTAACACTATCGCTATACTTTCTGGCTCTGTCATGCATAATCCACCTAAAAATAATTATTATAATTTTATTTATAAAGATTATAAAAATCACAATTTTTTTAAAAATACAGTTACCATAATAATTATTTGTATCCATTTCACTTGCTTTATCATTATCCGTTAAACCCTCTAAAGTGTTATTCTGACAACTATCCATTGAGGACATCCTACTTTGAGGTTGTTCTTGTCGTGTTTTTTCCAAATTACAAAAATCTATTGTAAAAATTTATCTTTTAGATTATCATACTATCCTATATATTATTCATATTATTCTAAAATATATATCCATATTATTCCAAAATAACTATTTCATAAAAAAATATTTTACCAGTAATTAACATTGTCAACGAAGCAGGAAGTCCAGAATCAATTAATTGTTCTATACCCGACGGAGATCGAGCAGCTGCAGCTACAGTAAGCAACTGTCCTTCTGTTAAATTTAATCGCTTACATTCTGATAATACATAACGATAATACCATTCTTCGCCATTAAATTCGCTTTTTCTATCATCTGTTTGTCCTTCTCTTTCCTTGCGATCATCAGATATAGATGCAGAATGATCTGTAGCCTTATTGGGTACCAAAATTCGTACTCTTTGGAGAAGCACAGGAAACAATGTAGGTCTTACATAACAAAATGCACACAAAGCAGAATCAATCGCCTGTTTTAAAGCAGAACTCGTTCCCAAAATCAAAGTCCATTGATATAAAGCACTATTTTCAAATAATATAATTTATATTAAAGATATATATCAAAATTTTATCAGGTAAAAAAAATTATATAATATATGCTGAATATGACTTACTTAAAAAGTTCATCTGTCAATAAAGCTTGTAAATCATAATTAAGATTTTGTTGTTGATGAGCTTCCCATATAATGGAAGATACGCAATGAATATATACAGCAGGTGGATTAATAGCATTAGGACTATTACTGGGTCGAGAAATTCCATTTACTGCCGATGCATGAAGCCACGAAAGCACCGCTGTCATACGAGCTTCTGTACAAGAATCTTGAATTGAACATAATTGTTGAAGTAATTCTACAACCAATTGAACGGTTGATGTTTCTTGAGTAGTTACAGCACCTGCAATCAAAAATTAATTTCATAAAATTCTATTCTATAAATTCGAAAAAATTTATTTCAAAAAAAGGAAAAAAATTGATTTTTAAGAAAAGCGATACCTTGAAAGAAAAAGGTAGACCTGTTGTTAAGTAAAAGACCAATGAGTCGAAGTCCAAGCTCTTGAGAATGTAAGCCTAATTGCAAAAGTACCCTTTCCAAATTGGGAGTAAAAAGAGATGGTGCTGGGAGTAACAGAAGATTACAACATGCCTCAACCAATCCTTCAACTGAAGCTGCAGAATTAAGCACTTTAACAGCAAGATTACTGTTTAATGTGCTTACGGATAGGCATTGATGCAATAATCGCAACCAACCCAAGCTAGACATATATGTTACAAAAATTGTATTTCGACATATAAAACCATAAATTCTTTCCATAAATACAACCAAAATCTATATCAAAAGAATTACCTTGTCTTAGTAAGTTGTTCTTCGTCTATTGTATCATGATTCGTTTTTATTTCACCGAATGCTGTAGTACCTAATAACCTAATCTGACTTAAACTTATACTTCTCGAATCGCGTGGTTTATATAATCGTACAAGTACAGATGTTGCCACTTCTGGTTGTGACAGAGTGATACGTATAAATGTCAAACCTGCCGTAGGCATTGGTGGACAAACAGGTGTTAAAGGACTATTACTTTCTCTTGAAACTTCTATAGCTACAGCCGATGGACATGCTAAAAATAGCAATATATTATTAAAGTTATTAAAATATTATTAAGTTATTAAAATATAACACATTATTCGTATATTATTACTATATTAATATATTTATATATCTTACTAGCTAAAGATGTAAGATGTGGTTGCAATTCTACTTTTCTTAATAATATAGCACAAGGTAAAGTAATCGCAAGATCAACCCAAGCTTCATCAGGATAACAATGATATAACCACGCGGCTGTCCTTGCCCGTTTATGTGGTGTAGAATTTTGTATAAGAACATCTGCTGGTTGTGCAGCAGGATTAAACCAAGATATTATACCCAAAGGAGCAAAGTTTAACAATCCATCTTCATAAGTCTCAAGTGTATTTATAGATTTCTTGCTACTTGAAGAAGATACTGGTAGTACGTTAGGAACATTTGAAAGATGTTCCATTACCAACGCAATCACACCAGGAGAAACAGAGTTAGCATTTCCATTATTACTTGATTTTACTAAATTTTCACAAAGTACTTTTACTCCACCCATTGCTGTGAACATTGCCAGTGATACTTCATTGTCTAAAACTCTTAAGATATACCAAAGAAGAGGCTCGGATAATTGCATGATACCCAATTGTCGATTTAATTCTCTTTGCTCACATGCTATAAAATAATATAATAAATATATATAATAAAAATATATATAATAAAAATATATTATTTAAAAATTAAAATTTGTGAAAATAAAAATACTTACAGGATGAAAGATATTGGTAAAGTGGATTAAGAACTAAACTACGATTGCTTGCTTTTTTAGTAAGAGTAGTCAAAAGTTGGAATGTAGCATCTGGTATCGAAGCAGGATCACCGAGTTCAGTAGCTGTTCCTGCACCAGCACTCTCGCCTAGGAGCATAGCTAAAGATGAACCTGTACTATGACCTAAAGCTCCTAACAATCGCATCATAGTAGGTTCATGTTGCAAAACTGAAAATCATAATATTTCAATAACAAAAATATTTCATAAGATTGATGTATTTTTATACATACCAGTATCTGCAACACATCGCATACGAGGTTTGTTAGATGCACATTGTTGTAAGCGAGACGAAGATTGTTGCTCTGCAACTTTACTTTCATCCGTTTGTGAAATATTTACTTTCATTTGAGTATCATTAATATCAGTATTTGTATCGAAATTTGTTTCAGAAAAATCTATTCTGATTGAACCATCAGAGCGACATGCACAAGTCTGTAAATACAAAAGATTGAAATATATTTTTAAAATATAGATTTTTAAAATATCTATTTCAAATATATAAAATATTATAAATAATATACCTCTGGCAAAGGTGTTTGAATAAGTCGACATACTAATTTAATAAGTGCTACGACTAAAGTGTCCCATGAAGTGGGATAATCTTGTCTGGTATGTCCACCGAATACACAAGCAAATAAACTCCCGAATCCACTAGATGAATTTGTTAAATCGCCAGTTCCACCACATTGAGCTCCAACTATCAAATAATAAATATAAACAAAGAAAATTCATAATTCAATTATATAATAATTATAATTCTAATTCATGAAATTACCTTCAGAACCTCTAACATATGTAGAAACTAATACTCCGACGCATTCTGTTATACTCATTGCAGTTCCTAAATCTGTATTAGCAAAATTTAAATTCGTTAATGATGTTATAAGTTTATATTGTGCGTCTAAAGGCCCTCTTCTTGCAGAAAGTGCACCACCAGGTTGTACAAGTTGATATATCACCCATAATAAAAGTTCTTTTAATGCATTTCCTAAAGAACTATCAGGCATAATTACATCGCATCTCATTTTTAATCTAACTAGAAAATATTGTAGTGCTTGACAAACAGTAGGACCAGCCTAAAAACATATTGAAATATAAAATTATAAAACACTAAAAACTTAGTAGTTAAAAAAATTAATAAAAATACCATTATATATTGTTTATCCATAGCATTAACATTTAATCCACTTCCAGAAAGTAAACGCAAAAGCATAGGACCCATATTACGTTCTTTTACAATGCATCCGGCCATACCACCCAGAAGACCATCTAACGGTTGACGACTATTTGCAGCCTCTGCAGGATTTGTCTGTAATGGTTGATTACTTGCCAAAGTTAAACATCGAAGAGCAAGACACCAAGCACGTAAAGAAACACCCGGATGCCTGTAAATTGATCTTATTATTACTTAAACCATCAGTTGGAAAATTATTCTGATAAAAGAAAAATATAAAAAAACATTTTATATTTACCAACATAATGCAGATATAAGATTTGAAATAGCTGTTGAACTCAACGGTATAACAGGTGAAAGTGAAGGATCAAATTGATTTAAACAATTAGATTGTTCTGAAGAAGCATCTAAATTTAAAGTTAACCAAAGCTGAAGAATAAGTTCCAAATTTGTTCCCGCGCTCTGTTGTAAAATTATATGTAAAATTATATATAATATGTATAAATTATATGTATCTATGTATGTATGTGTGTATATACATATATATGTATATATATATATATATATATATATATTATTATTATTATTGTTATTAATCTTTTTTTAAATCATTAGAAATTATATAAATATTTATTATTGTTTGATTGATATTACTTACCTGTAAATATAATTCTGTAAATATTTTGTCAAAACACCTCGTTAACATTAATAAACTCGAAGAAGTTGTGTCAGGTGAATTCCAAACATCTTGACTTCTCTCATTCCAATTAGATTCTGTTTTTGGCGTTGATTGTTGAGAACATCGATTTGATTCTGATGGAACCTTTCATATAAAAAAGAATAAATTTTTATTTTGATTCAAGAATTCATTTTATTTAATTGAAAGTAATAAACACAAAAATAAAAATCATTAACTCACATGTATTGTGGTACTTATACTATAAGGTAAATTATACATGCTGAACATGGACAATATTCTTAATGATAATTCTATCCCCATTTCTACTCCATATTCTAATCTTGCATCCATTGCCAAAGAAATTCTATAAAAATTTATAAATAACTTAATTTCTTATATAAATTATATATATATTATATATATATATATATATATTACTTACCCAGATATGTCTACATTTTTAGGTAATGGATGTCCTTTCTTTAAGGTATTTCTACCACGTTCTAAAATATCATCTAAGAAATCTTCAAGTTCACTATCATCAGACTCCAAAAGAGAAGGTAAAAATCCATTAGACTTTGATGTTGAAGCAGTTGCAGATAACACCATTATACTACTATCTTGAGTATCTTCTTCTCCTTCACCTTCAGCAAATCCTTCATCATTACCAAGTGGAACAGCAGTATTACTTGTTTCAGCAGCACTTGCACTATATTCTTCTTCTGGTGTTCGACCTTTCTCCGTAACAAGAGGTATAAAATTCACTACAGAAGGACCCTCAGCAGTAAAACATGTTTTTGGAGTTAATTTTCCGCCTATAATTATAACGAATAATTAATAAAAATTGAAAGAAAATATATATAAATAATATTACAATCAACAATATGTGAATCTCATACCTTCTAATAAATCCTGTAAAAGGCACGAAACTGCATGTGAAGACCAGGCCGCATCAGAGGTACCCGCCAATCTGACTAATTTTAGGAGCTGTTCTTCACTCATAAGTTCACACAAGCTAATTGCAGGACGTGTAGATATCACTAGCCTAGCGACTACCTATATGGCACATGTTACAACAATTCAAGAAATTACTTCATAAAGCATAAAGCTTATTATTTATTAAAAAATCATCAAATACTATAAATAATATAAAATCTACAAGCTAATAATATTTTAATCATAAATTTTAATAGTAAGCGTAAATAAATCGTAAATTATAATATACTTAATGCAAATAAAATATGTACTAATTTTAAATTTTATATTTTGTTCAAATATAAATAACACAATAGAAGAAAATGAAATAAAAATCGATAAATACATATAACAATCTTAAATCAAATTTACTTACTTTGCAAGCTAATAGGAACATATCCACATTAGCAGAATTATACAAAATAAGAGCAATAAGTCCACGTGCCACAGGCAGAACATGCTGATGTGATAAGTTAGATATATATTCAACATCCAAATCTGTTGCTTCTGATTTGCTAGAACTTATATGACATAATTAAATTGTCATAAAATGTTAAAAATTAATTGTTGTGATATAAATTTTTATCACAAACCTCGTATTTGCTTGTGATTGCGAACTGCGCGAACTGTGTTGTGTATCACTCTTACGAATACCAAGGATATCTTTGAAGTGCTTGGCAGAATTTTGTTTTAACGTTTTTTTAAAGAATTGCTCATGCGATTTCAATGTAGCTTTCATTTTACTACATAATGAAGCAGTATGTGATGATAAATTAGTCCATCCCTTCAAAATTTATGTAATTTATTTATTTTTATATTTCATTTATTATAAGAATAAAATGAATATATTTTTCATACCTGTGATGATGTATGAAATGCTTTTTTTGCTTGCTCTAATTCTTGAAGTTGTTGCTTATGATGTAATTTCTGTAATTTTTTACGATAACTACAAGCTGGAGAACGATTAGCGTTACCATATTTCCTTTGCATTGCAGATTCGCCTTGAATAAATTCCCAACGAGATAATAAACCTTTCAAAAGAATTTTTACAATAATTAAATAACAAGCAAAATTTAAAATATTAATACTTTATATTAAAATTATTAAATACAATAAAATATATACAATATATAGCTTATTAAAATTATAAAATATATATGTATATATATACCTTGTTCTCTATTTTTTTCACTATTCTCTTCCAAACAAGTAGATGGAATCGCTATAGTATCCAAACATACTGACAAAAAAAGCAATACCCAGCCTATAAGTGTTATATCTAAGTGATTTATATCGGATGCTTGAGGATTTGATAATGGTGCTAATAATTTGCCTAATGTGCGAACCATGGCATCTATTACGGAAGATCTATTAACCCCAGCAATCAACGATTTACGTCCAAGAAGTGTCAATAAAATAAATACTCTAAAAATTAAAAAAAAAATATTCGTTTTAATGAACAATATTTTCTAACTTTATTAAAGAATTAAAAATTATATAATATATCATATATCGTATATCGTACCTATCTTGTGGAAATATGTGCGTAGACGATGAAGAATAAAGATTAACTAAAACATTAGATAAAAAATTACCCCACCAAGGTTGATGACCAGCCATACGCGTTAAAAGAGCGACAGCCTGTAACTGTAAACGCGGAGCTGGTGTAACAACACAAATCGAATGAAAAAATTTTTCACAGACAGTTGGTGTAAAAACATCACATATTGATAATGGTATCTAAAAAAAGAAAAAAACAGATATAAAAATCTAAACAATTATAATAAAAATCTTAATAAATAAAAATTAATAAACATACGCTAGGTATTGGACCAATTTCATATACTGCAAATAAGAGAATATCGAGTAAAGTTTCTCCTAAAGCTCGCAATTTATCAGTAGGTGCATTAGTTAAAGACATTGTAGGTATAGTTTGAGAACCTTTCCATGATTCCAATCGTCTCCATACACCACGTACAACATTTAATTGATGTTGAAACATTATACATTCCTATAATATAAACACATATTTTTTATATACAATTATTATATATAAAATTATATTTTATATTAATTTATTTTATTTAACTTACTTGATAAGTAGATAATATTTTTGCAGATGGTTGTTCTTTATTTTCATTAGGTATTTTACTAAAAGAAAGATAGTGTTGCATATGCATAACATTAGTAGTTTCTGAACACAACAGTGGATCCAGTAGGCATTTTAATTTTTCAGTAGCTAGGCTAAATCTATGGCACAAATTAATAATTAATTACTAATTAAAAATAAATGTTGAAATTAATAAAAATATTTAAAAATATTAAAATATAAATATATATATTAAATATAATAAAATTTATATTTCTAAATAAATATGTTATAAATACCTGCACTGTACATCTTCTGCAAGAGCTGATAAAATATTACATTGTGTATCAATAGTAGCTTGTATATTAGAATCAAAAGTGTTGTCACAAGTTGATAAACTACTATTTAATTCCGCATAATCTTCTCCAGGTAAAACCATCATGTGCCCATAAAAAATTCCTAATGGAATTTTACACATAGTAGGAGACATTCCATAGCGACCTATGATTATAATCTAAAAATAACAATTTTTTATTATTATATCATGCAAATAGATAAATAAATATAGTTAAATAAAATAATAAATAAATTTTATTATAATTTATTATAATAAAAAAGTATTATTATAAATACCTTTAGATATCTACAAACTGGTGGTGGCTGAAGATCACATACAACTAAAGATCTATTTCCAATATCACCAGCAACAATAAGTCGTGTACCATCAACTTCTTCTTTTTTTGTCCATATATCTATAGATAATGATGCTAAATCACTGCAGCAAGGAATAATCAAATCCGTAAGCAATACAGGTGATCCAAAATCGAGGATAACAAAACGACGTGCACCGGAATGCATTCTATCAACTACCAATGCCTGCTGAGGTGGCCAACATAATAATCTTGCCCATGGAAATGTAACTTCTTTTCGCTGTAATATTAAATAGCATATATAAATCTTCTAGTACATTATTTACATATTTAGCAATTATTAAACATCTATTTCACTTCTATTTTGTTATATAATAAATTATAGTCATTCAAACAAATACATGAAGATGCATAAATTATTTTATTCTACAATACATTAAGATTAAATATTTCTAAGAATTAGAAATTTGGGTAATCAGTTCTTTTTCTATTATTCATATACATATTGAATATAATTCATTTATATTTTTCAATAATAATTTCAAAACAGGAATAATTTTTCTATAAATTCATTTTAAAAGCTGTCACCCAAAATTTCATAATAAAATTTTATAAAAAAATGTAACTGTACACCACATTTATATGTATATATAATATTAGAAGCATTAAATAGGAATAAAATCTACATAATCCATTTACATAATTAAATTTATTGATATATGAAATAAAATTGAGAAAACGATATTATACTTGCAAAATTAAATCATGGAAGTAGATCTAGGCAATTTCATATCATTAAAATTTGTTCGTGCGTTGAATTCAAAATAAATCATTCGATATAAAATCTATGTAACTAGATGTTTTTATTACATTTAAATTTTATAAATTTCGTAGATAATTTAAATGGTAAGATGTACAATATGAGAAAATAATATCAATGTAATATTGATTTTGAATATATGGTATCCTAAAGCTGTCATGCAATTTGCAATTTATGTATCTAGCTTTGTGCAAAATCAATGAAATTACATAAACTCAGTTATAAAAACAGCATATTAATAAAGCTTTTAAAAATTTATAATAATGACAAGAAATTATCAAATTGAGAAACAGAAAGAAAAAAGTGCAATTTCTCATCTATATAATCTACCTTTTTAGAATTGCTGTCTTCAATTTTGTTTACAGTAGTATTGATATTTTGTACGGACGACTTTTCTTTTGTTACAGTAGAACTTAATATACGTGAAGTAGGCATATCATTTTGTGTATTATGCCATGTCTGATTGTTGATAGGCATATCATTAGCTTCATCACAGTCTGATTGATCATCAGGTGTGAATATCAGTTGTGGAGCTGGCTTCTTTAACATTCTTCCTGTACATAGACTAAGTAGATCACTTAACATAGGTGTTGGCTTAGCCTGAATATCTGCTCCTAGCGATCCAGCATCCAAGTTCTATAATGTACAATGATTTCTATTTGGATTATATTTCCTCTACTTGAAAAAACATCTATACCATTTACGTTTTTACATTCAACGCTAAATAATTGTAATAATTTCAACTGTCCTAATTAAAAAACGGAAATTGTTGAACTGCCTGTTCTATTTTACCATGATGTTTTATTATTTGTTTTACCAATATAATATTATTATATTATAACGATAATTATTAACGATATTATAACGTTTACATAAAATTTACAATAGTAGCATGCTCCATGAAATCGTTAGATTTAGAGTATAGAAAAAGAAAAACAGAAAGGATTTAGGAATTATTTGTAAAAAAAAAAAAATTGTTTTGGAATAACTTACATAAGTATGATGAATGGTTTTGATGTCAGGTACACCGTTGTTGTTTGTAGCTGTACTATCATAAAGAGGAGCTCCAATATTATTTGTATTCATACATGGATCAATCTTTTCCATTTTGGTACCATCAGAAGCAGCAAGACAAGTAAAATGAAGGGGTTCAACCTAGATGTTTACAATTTTTGTCCATTTTTATAATATCCAAAATTTTTTTTTATTTTCCTATATTCATTTTGTTATGATTTCATAATATTAATAAATTACCTCTAAAAGTCCCTTCATATTGTGATTAGCACATAAAGCCTTCAACTTGCTAGACACCACAAGTTCACTAGTTGGATGTGTAGGCAGTGTAAGTAGGTCCCTCAAATCAATAGCATCCTGAGAATACATAGAACTTGATGAAGCAGTTGATGGTCCTGTCTGTTCATTAGCTACTGCTGACACATATGTAGGTGGTATTGGACTGTATTTAGGAGGCATCGGCGATTCCAAGTCGAATAATTCGGTCTCAAATGGAGAATTATATAGACCAAATCTATAAAAAATTGAAAATTCTTTTTTTATTAATGTTATCTTAATAATTTGTATTAAGATAAATTATAATTATAAATTGAATTATACCTTGTTGCTAGTAATAAATGATATGGATTTACACGATTTGATATTTCAGCAGCTATTTGTTGTATTAAAGAAATACATTGTTGAGCAATACTGTGATTTCTATCTCGTAACAAAGTTCTATTAATTAATAATTGTAACCAACGTAGTGAACCAGCCCATTCAACTTCTACTATCGAAGGTAATAATGTTACTAAAACAGATACTAAAGCTTCATCGAAAGATTGAGGTGGAGGATCTTCCAAATTATAAAAACCACTGAAAATAATTTATAATATTATAAAATAAATTATATTTTATATCACTTAATCAAATATTATTGTATTATTAACTTACATATTACAAAGCATAATTAATTTTATACACTTGTGCGCTATACTTCGACCAGCATGCAAAAGACAAGTTCTTAATAAATTAGATAATCGTGCTTGTACCAAACGAATTGTTTCCAATTGAAAAGCTTTTATTTCAGTATTATTTTGATAATTACGCAACCTCGTTAATCTAATAGAGGCTATCCACACGAGAATATCTAATGCAAGTGATTGTACAATGGGAGACCTATAATATTTAAATATGCTATAATACATTATATATATTATATGTTTATTAATACATATATATATATATATATATATATATATGTTTTGAACAAATATGATATAATAATATTATAATTTAATAATTTTTAATTTTTTTAAAATGTTCTTACTTTTCAGATGTCTCCAAACAAGCTACATTTAATAAATTTTCAAAACAATTTTTAGATTCTAACATGGCGCATCGTTGAGTTCTTTCATTTGGTATATTAGTAGGATATACCGTTCGAACGGTAATTGATACCTCATAAATACAATCACAACCTTAAGTATTGAAAAAAAATGAATTAAATAAAATGTATTAAAAAATGAAATGTAAATTATATATAATAATATAGAATTTAAAATCGTATTTACCGATGTAACCATCTAATTTCTTACTACTTGCACCTTCTACGAATCGACGTACTTCAACTATTCTTAATTTTTTCGATGTAGGAGGTTTGTTGTCTGATGAATTTGTTTTTGATTTTGTTGTTGTCTAAAAATAAAAAAGTAATATTTATCATATATAATTTATTTAACTATTTCAAAATATATTCTGACTACTCTACTGATACTCACGTTATCTTTTGTAGGATCAATTAGAGCCTTAATATGAACAAGAAGCGTTCTGGCTTTAGATCGAAATAATTTTGGACTAGTTAATGTAACACAACCAGCACGCCAAGATAAATCTAAACTGCGATGTAAATCAATCGGTCCACATAAAATTTCTGTATTATGTTGCCTTTGAAACTCTTCTGTGATCACAGGATTTTCTCCTTTTTGCTCATTACTTATATTAAAATCTATTCTTTCATCCACAGGAGTTAATAAAGGCTCATGATGACCAATTCTTTTGATATTTTGCTTTAGTAAAGTAATTTGAATTGAAGGTAATTCTTGACAAACTGAATGTAAACTATATCGTACATCTACATGACCAATATGTCCTGCTGCACTTCGAGGAAGAGTTAATTCAAATATATGTTCATCCCAAGTATTTCTATATTTTATAAAAGAAATATATTTTTATAAATCAAATATAAGAAAATATATCATAAAATTATATTTTCTAAAATATTCATACATACCGTTCATTATGTAAACGCCATGTTCTTGTATGATGCTGACCTTCTGATTGATGAAAATGTTGCGGATGACGACGTTGTCTTTGAGCTTGCATCATTTCATTCCAACAAGGAGGAACAGTAGCACCATATGCAGGAGAATGATGATCAAATCGTGTCAATTCATATAAAGCACATAAATCCGAATGTGAAAAACTTAATTTGTGCGCAATTAACTGATCTCTATAAAAATATATATATCAAATATATTAAGTTTTAAAATATTATTTCAAATATCTTATTTATTTTATTATTTTAATTTAATTTTTAATCTTACTGAAAATTAGATGATGTTGATGTACTAGGAATTATAGTTTTATTACTATTTTCTTCATTTGTCATCATATTAATATCCTCAATATCTTCCTTATCTTCTATAGAATCTTCTTCATCTGTAGTAATAAAAAAATGAAGTGCACCATCACTTGTACATGCACACAATCTTTCTAAACCTAAAAAAAATCAAATTATGCAAATATGAGAACTATTAATAAAAATATAAATAAATATCAAAACTTACTATTACAATAGGCTGCAGAAACAAACTTTTTTCCTTCTATTCTTGCCTCAGTAATAGTTTTCAATGAATTTAAATTTAATACTCTGATAACACCATCTCTGCATATTAAAGCTACTTGTCCTACAGGTTCTGATATATTTGAATTAGTAGTAGAACTTGTACTAAAATTTTCACCAGATAATGTACATTTATTTTTCTCTTGAAGAGGTAAAAACACATGTTCAACAGGAGCTTCATCTGCAGATAATTCTCGTTTTGCTACTGGTTCAGAAAATATCTTTACTACTTGTCCCGAAAAATCCAAAGCATATACAAGTAGTATGGTATTCATATTATTTATATCATCATGTATTTTACCATTTATTAGTCTATCAGATTGTGTATCATTATGGTCCCAATACACATAACCTTTCTGTGGGAAAAATTCACTATCTTCATCAATATCCATCTGATTATTATTTGAAATTAACGAATCTGTGTTATCAGTTATAGGACACATAGCAACATATAAATGTCTTCCATCTTTAGATGATTCAATATGTGTAATTTTAACAAAATCAGGAGCTTCAATAGATAAAGTTTTTACAACAATTGGTTCAGTCTTTGTAATTTTCATGATATCCAAACTTTTTTTGTTGACTGTTGTTAAATCAGATGTTGATGCAAAATGTTCTGGACCATTAATAGGATTAAAATTGGCATCAAATGAACTTGATGTTGGAGGTACTGTGATACCAATTGGATTTGAATAAATCCCATTGGAAGATGATGCAGTAAGGGCAGATGTTGGAAAAATACCATCAAAATGTGGACCAACTACATCAGAATCTACATCTTCTATTACTGGAACTTCATAAAAAAATTTACCAACCAAGAATTCTTGATATAAATTTTCTTGACGTTCTCCATTTGAGCTAGCACTAGTGCCTGTTCCAGATAACGTCTTTTTAGCCTTAGTATTATCCTTAGTATTATCTTCTTTAATTTGTTGTGTTGTTGCAGTTTTGTGGTGAAAGTCATAAAATACTAAATAGTGCAATCTTGATGGTGTGTATTTATCACCTGCTACTTTCATTATATCTAAAGTATCACTGGCAGCACTATTTACACTGTTCATTGCACGAACAAGAGATGATGATGAAGCTAAATCTGTTGAAGCAGCCCACACATTTTCTAAAGTCCTTAATTGCGATGGATTACTAACTGTCACAGTAACAGCACACACTACACATGGCCTGATTTTAGAGTCCGATGTCTCTACAGGTAAAAGCGTAGAACCAGATGTTTTTGTTTCACTGTTTTGAGATTTAGGAGATCCTACTATAGACAATGCTGTGACCTGTACTTTATGAGAACCTGGATGCTTATAATCAGAAAGAGGATCTGTTTCGGAATTAAGTGTCCTTAAATATGATGACAAATTTCTTGTGGAACCAAATTGAATAGAGTCCTTATTATTTATTTCTTGATCTATAGGAGCTACATAAAATGATACCTCCCTCTGTGAGAAATATATGATGTGAAAATATTTTTATGAAAAATATTAATTAACATATATTAATATATATTACCTTTAATTGATTTGTTACATTCCAGACATTAATGAAACCACTGCTAGAAGCTGTAGCTACAAGACCACTGACATTTGTAGTGCTAATCACATCTACAGTATCACCAACCTCGCGTGCAGGAGCAGTAGCAAGGATGACAGACAAAGGAACATTTTGCGTATATTCTCCTTTAACAAATGGGCATGCTGGAGAATGGCGTTCATGTTCTGACCAAGGTTCATCTGTTGGTTCCCAACAAACTAAACAAACATTGCATGTAAAGCACATTATTCTATCATCACCTGTTGCATTTGGTTGATGATAGAAACCAGCCTGAGCCATTTGATCTGGTAAAGCCCACCTAAAAAACAACATACATATTATATATATATATATTTATTTATTCAATTATTTCAATAAAAAATAAAAAATTAAATACTTGTAATTCATGTGTGGCCATTTTGAAAAAGTATCTCGGCGGGTAGCTTCACTAAACATTAATGCTTTGTCAGCAGGATCTCCTTCTAATGGCAGACCTGGCAATAGGCCATTTAGTCGTTCATTAATGGCAGAAGCAATTGGCAATGCTGGAATATATCGGCTTAATCTTTTCAATTCTGTTACTAATCCTGAGCACACAAGTTTCAAAGAACTATGTGGTAATTCCAAACATACCGTATTCCACTATGATGAAAATAAATTATTATCACATAAATGTTAAATCATTTAATAACTTAAAATTAAATTTATAATTAAAATTTTAATTTATATTTACCTTTTGAGCTTTAATTCCCTTTTTTTGATTTGCTTCTATTACAAAAGTTTTACTTATTAATTCTTCCTTCACTTCCTGCACATGATCTATACCTGGTAACTCTACACATCGTAGACACTGATATAACAAAGTAGCTTCAGAAAACAATAATTCTAATTTTATAATATCTTCACTTCTTGAAACAGGTGTTTGTAAAAGTGTGTCTAAAAAGAGTACTCCATTATAATCACTGCGTACTCCAATTCCTCTTCCATCAGTATATAATATTTTATCTACACCATTTGATAAATATGTCCCTTGAAGTTTTCCATTTAATTTTCCTAAAATACATTATTGTATAATCATACATTAATTTATTAAATTATAAATTAAGCAAATATAGTTTATTTTTTTTAATATAAATTCATTTTAAAAAAATATGAAAATAATATAAATGAAATAATATAACAAAGATATAAAAACATTTATATGTCATTAAAAAATAAATAATAATAATTATCTTATAAAATTTACATTTTTAAAAATTATTATTACATAAAAATCAATATAATCATAAAAATCAATAATTCTTATAAAAAAAACATTCTTAATAACAAATAACAAAATTAATTTTTCAAGAACAACATAATTGAAAATTAAACAACAGTAAAATTATCAAATGATTGTAAAAATTTGATAACATATTAAAGAATAACAAATCAATCATGAAAATCATTTAATAACAAAAATTGATTACTTTATTAAAGTGATTAGAATTAGAAAAACTTTAGTCACGCCTGACGTTTTACGTGTATACGACCTTGACCATGAGGTGTGATTAAACATTACAAATAAATTATCTATAGGATTTATAATAAAATGACTTGTTATCAATAATAAATACTTCTTTATGAAGAGTGAATGAATAAAAATGCTTACCAGATAAAGAACTTTTTTGCAAAATTACTCCTGAGTTGACATCAAATACATATACTTGCGCACTGCCAGTGGTAATTAGTAACACATTTAGATTAGCATGATAGATTATACTTTTACATTCAATATCCACATTTAAGTAACCGTCTTCCTTTAATAACCATGGATCATCATCAGCCATTTTGCTCATATAGATTACAATTCTCAAAAAATTTGCCTAATGCGCGAACATCACAAAAAACATGGCGTACTTATCACCGCCATCTTTGAATAGAACGTCAGCAAATCGCTATGAAGTTGGTTAATAACTGCCAAACGATTAATATATTAACGATATATCGATACCATATCTTTCGATTATCGATTTCGATTTCGATAAAAATTACTTACATTTTCGAACAGCATTACAATGTACATAAATACATTTAGAAAATACAGACATTAGAATATAATAAAAATTAATAAATATTATTTTTCATATTATTTGAATTATGCATTATAAAATTCATTTGTTTAATTATTAAGCAAATATAAAACATTATTATGCATATTTTCTAATTTCTATTGTTTACTTCCATAATAATCATTTAAAAGATTATTAATAAGTGATTAATAACAAAATTTTGTCAGTGGGAAATCTATATAAAATATTAAATAGGATAAATTCATGTTTTAACAAGGAAGGAAAAATTACATAATGCCATGTGATATACTTAAATCTTACTATCTCTTACTTTTATTAATAATATATAATAAATTATTTGAATATAATATTTTAAATTGCCCTAAGTACTTTGGATTTTTTAATTTCCTCTAATTCTTCACGGAATTTCATATAATTTTCTTTCCTTTGCTTCATAAATTTTGCATGTTCTTCTGGATCTAATGTACGTACAATTTGAATACCACATGTTCGAGCTATACCAACAATCATTTCACAAATCTGTGGTAAACTTAATAATGCTAAAGGTGGATCTTGTGCCTTAACACAGGCAATTTCATATAAATGTTTAAATGTTATTTTTCCTGCTACTTCATCTAAAGAATATAATTTGCATAATAAATATTAAATAAATTTATCTTATAATATTTAATTTACCTTTTATCACTTTTCCTTTTAGAATTCCAGCTGCTTGTTTCAAAAAAAATGTTACTGGTGGTTTATGAATCACTAAAGAATAAGTTCCATCAGATTTTACTTTGATACGACATGGTAAAGGTATACCCTCTTTAATGTTTTCAGTTCTTGTATTAAAATCTTTACAAAAATTTGCTACATTAATATTTCTCTGAAAATAATATTTAAATAAAAATTAAATAAAAAACTAATAAATGTAATTATTAAATATATAAAATAATCTATATTCTTAATAAAACTAAAAACAATTACATTATTTACTTACTAATTTTTATAATAAAAACAATTTATTAAATTAATGAAAAAAATATAAGATTTTTTAACCTGTCCAAGTTGTGAACCCAAAGGTGGTTTAGCATTTGCCATTCCTGCAGGAATAATTACTCGCAAAGGAGTACGATGTTCTACTTTTTTCACTACTTTTTTCAATGCATTTCCTTTTTTAATTATCTTACTAGACATTTTTATAAAGTTTTATCATATAATTTTGAATCTAAAATTTATTTGAAACAATCTTATAAATACAAATAAAGCAATATAATATATAAAAGTATATAGTTAATTTATCAGGTTTACCAAGTTTAAAAAAAAACTTTACTATGCTGTAGTATAAATATGAATGTGATGAATTTATGTCAAAAATAAATAAATGTTAAATAATTAAGAAATATATTGAATTAATTAAATATAATTATCATAATAATTATCATAATTCTTTTTTAAAAGAAAATTAAATAATAACACAATCGAAATGGGTAAACGTCAGCATCAAAAAGATAAAATGTAAGTTGTTAATCATTGTTATTAGATTTATGAGGTTATAATACAAAATTTTTTATTTTTTAATATAATTTCTTATATTTATTATTTTTGTAGGTATTTAACATATACAGAATGGACAACATTATATGGTGGAAAAAAATCTGGAAGTTCTGAAGCAAGTGAAGATACAACATTTCGTCGTTTACCTTATAATCATTGTTGTTTGACTTTACAGCCTTTTGAACATCCTTATTGTGATCCACAAGGAAATATCTTTGAATTAGAAGCAATATTAGAATATATAAAAAAGTATAAACATAATCCTGTTACAGGAAAACCATTAGATCCAAAAACTTTAATAAAACTTAATTTTCATATAAATTCAGAAGGGCAATATCATTGTCCAGTACTTTTTAAATTATTTACTAAATATTCTCATATTATAGCCATTAAGCCAACTGGAAATGTGTTTTCATATGAGGTAAAAATTAAATTTAAAAATATTTATTCATAATAATTTAATTTAATTTTTTTTTAGGCAATAGAACAATTAAATATAAAGACACGTAATTGGAAAGATTTAATAAATGATCAACCTTTTACACGAAAAGACATTATTGTAATACAAGATCCAAACAATGCCATAAAATTTAATTTATCTACATTTCATCATATAAAAAATAATATTAAACTTGAAGATGAAGGTAATATTTTATGAAAATATGAATTTTAATTTATTTTAATGAGAATTTTATATATATTGAAATGTTATAAACAAGCATTATTACAGAAATCATAAAGGAACGTAATAATCCAAATGCAAAATTAAAAACTGTGTCTATGGAAACTAAAGAAATATTAGCTGAATTAGATAGAAATTATAAACAAACTGAAATTAAACAAGAAATCTCTAAACCAAAAGCAGATAAATTTAATGCGGTTTGTGTATTATCATTAATTTTTTTCTTTTATTTTATATTATATTAACATTAATGTTTTAATATTATTAATATTTTTTTTTCCTTTTTTAATTTTAAAAAAAAACTTGAAATGTAGGCACATTATTCCACTGGTGCAGTTGCTGCTGGTTTTACATCAACAGTAATGCCAACAGAAACTACACATCAAGCAGCAGTTATTGCAGAAGATTTAGTACGATATGAAAGGATTAAAAAAAAAGGTAAATAATAGCATCTATATAAATTTATATTTCATTTAATCATATAATATTTTTTTCTAGGATATGTAAGATTAGTTATGAATTTTGGTGCTTTAAATTTAGAACTTCATTGTGATCTTGTTCCAAAAACTTGTGAAAATTTTATAAAACATTGTCAGAATGGTTATTATGATGGAACAAAATTTCATAGATCTATACGAAATTTCATGGTAAATATATATATATATTAAACTGAGAATTTATAATAAAAATAATTTAATTTAGATACAAGGAGGTGATCCTACAAATACTGGTAATGGAGGAACATCGATTTGGAATAAAACATTTGAAGATGAATTCAAACCAAATTTGATTCATCAAGGAAGAGGAATTTTATCAATGGCAAATTCTGGACCAAATACAAATGGATCGCAATTGTATATATTCTTTATTCTTTTTCTATTATATATTTATTTATAAGCATGATTTAAGATAAAATCTAATATATTTTGTTTTATATAATTACAGTTTTATTACATTTCGATCATGTAGACATTTAGATCGCAAACATACTGTTTTTGGAAAAATAGTAGGTGGATTAGAAACATTAAATGCCATTGAAAAAATTGAAGTGGATAATAAAGATAGACCAATAGAAGATATAATAATTCAAAAAGCTCAAGTATTTGTTGATCCATTTCAAGAAGCAGATGAACAATTAGCTATTGAACGTGCTGCCGAAATTGAACGATTGGCTCAAGAAGCTGCAAAAAATAAATCAAATAATAAAATGGAAAAAAATGATGTATTAAAAATATATCGATCGGGTGTAGGAAAATACATAAAACCAAATAAGGAAGAAGACAAGTACAGTCATATTATATATGTATTATGAAATTTATATTAATAGATTTCTAAAATATTAATTATTAATTTTACTTATAGGATAGAGAAAGAGGAATTAAGTATACCATCTACAATTAAAAAGAAAAAGACAGTAACAAACTCATTTGGTGATTTTTCATCTTGGTAATTATTAAATTATTTAAAAAAAAAATGTACAAATAGAAATTATTTGAAGCTGTATATTTCAAATATCAATATATTTAATTATATAAATTTATATCACAAATATAAATTATTTTTATATTTTCATTATGTAGAAACGAACTATCATTTATGTATTTTATTATTTTTATTATAATTTATCAAAAGGAATAACAATATATAAATAAATGTATTATAACAAATAAAAAATAAATAAATAAAACAAATTTTTTTCATTAATAATACAAATAATAAATATACCATAATAAAAATTAGATATAAATATATTATTTGAATTAAGTGGAAATTTAATAAATTTTATATTATTTGAATTGTATGAAGGTTAGATGAATACTGGAAGTCATAAACTGAGAACCGGATTCTCCATATTTGATGTTTGCTTTCCTTAACTCAGAGAAGTAAATTGATCAACTTTAACATATTTTATCGTAATTTAAATTTAAAATTGTTATAAATTTTGAGTGTAATTTGTGTAACGATATCTGCAGAATTAATATATATTAAATATGGACGATTTAGGTAAGTAAAATGAATTTTAAAAGCCTAAATAATAAGATAACCTCAAATTTGATCAAAATCAATTCTACTGTCAGAAATATTTGTGTTAGATATTATAAAAATATTTATTGGATATTATTATTTAATTATGTGAATTTTGATTTTTTTGAATTTAAACTTTATTTTTTATCTTAAAAAATTAAATATTATAATTTATTTTTTTTTTATTTTATTTAAAATTTTCCAAAAATATATGATTATATATACATATATAATTTTTATATATAAATAAATAATAAAGTATTAATAAAAAGTTTTGAAAAAAATCATAAATTTATTTAAAAAAAAATTATAGTCTAATTTATTTTGTTTTTTTTATTATTTATATATGAGTACAAAAAGTATAAAAACAAGTATTTTATTATTAAAATTTATATATACAATTCTATCACACCAGATTTGTTTAGTTAGAAATCTAGATGGCATGCTGTAATGTGAAAATCAAAAGAAGTGAAGTTCGTAACTGTTATTTATTTTCAATGGTAACTTTTCGTTGCATCATCGTTAAATGCATCTCATACTAGTTTATTCTCTCAGTGAAAGTTCAATTAAAAATTTTTTTATAAATATAATAATCTTTTTATAATATATTATAATATAAATATATATTATAATATAATATATATATAATATATTATAATATAAAATTTTTTATAATATAAATATAATAAATATAAATTCTTTTCTTTTTTTTAATATATTAGTTATTATTTTTATATAATTAGTGCAAATTATGTTTTTTATAATTGTATATATTTATTGAAATTATATATTCATATATTATATATTATATATTCATGTTTTCAAATTCAAAATTTAATTTATAAATTTATATATATTTTTAAATAAAATTAGAATTTTCAAATATTTTTATATTTAGAATTGTATATAGGTAAAAAATTTTAAATTAGTTTTAAAAACTTTTAAAATATCCCACGTGATATATTTCACCGGAAGATCTCAAAATGCAAGAGTGCTCATATAACAATGCAAAAGTGTTTTAAGTATCGTGCCAACAATTCTATGTATTTTTAGTGTATTTCATGGCATTGCTGTCTTTTTGTTATATCGTTGTGGAGAGAGGTCGGATATTGTCTAAAATACACTTATATATTTGAATTTTTTATTTTTTTATTTTATTTTTTTTTTTTATTAATTTCGGTTTATTCACATAGAATCAATATTGTGGTTATAATTTCATTTCATCAATAATAGTGATAGTTTATATCATATAAAAAATAATAAAAAACAGCATTGACTCATTTAACTTTTTATATGTAAAATTTTAATAACATGTGCGTGTAAATTTGTCTATTATATTTAAACAAATTGTGTTCAAATAAAATAATAGAAAATATAAATAAAGAATAATCGGTCGATTATAATTATTCATTTAATCTTATTTCTTTTTTTTTTTTAAATAGACTATTTATTTATTTAGTTATTCGTGTGTTTGTACGTATAAAATTCACAGACAACATTCAACAAGTGGTCGTTTGATATGTGTATCATCCCCACCATTAATTGATCGTCTACATAGCTCAGTCATTCGCGATAGACAGTAAAGAGAAGCATTACCACAGTAAAAGTGCTACATAAACATAACATATATGTTTATATACAATGATTCTGTATGAATCTATATAAAAATAATATATGAATATAAGTGTGATTATATATTTAAGTGTTAAGTTAAAAAAAATGGCTATGGATCGAACAATGTATGGAAAAGTAGAACCAAGTGCTATTTATCAGCCCTATAAAATCACCATCAAAAAAGGTTCACCACCAGGATGTGAGTCGATAATTCTTTTTGTATTATTTAATCTTTTTTTGCATTTTTCAAAGATTATCATGATTTTAATCTTTTATTACATAAATTTAAAATAAAGAAGAATATGTAAATTAAAATAAGAAAATGTTTCTAATAATCACGATTACATTTATATATACGTGCATTTTTTTGCATAAATGAACTAATGAGCTTAATTATTAATCTAAATTATTCTTGATATACTTTTTTTTTTAATTAATATTGAATCATTAATTATTATATTGATTTAAAATCTGTATTTGTGTTAGTTTGCGTTCACACAACTCTGCGTGATAATATAATGTGAACTTTTAAATTAAGCTCAATTGTTTCTGACAGTTTTTTTGTCGGTTTATAGAGCACATAGGTTTGAAAAGAAACAAATTAATTATGAAATTTTAAAATGGTTTTATAAAAATATATGATTATTAAATTTAATAATCATTTAATATAATTAGTTTAATATATCATAATATACCATATGATGATATTTTAAAAATAATTTTTTTAATTAAAAATTTTAAATAATTTATAATATTTTTTTAACTATTGATACAAATTGCCGATATATAGTCAAAGGTTAACATAACATAATTTCCAATTTTTTTTATAATTTAGTGTATATAATTACTATTTTCGCATCTAAAATAATATATTATTTGAAAAAAATTTTTTAAAATTTTTAAAACTAAAAAATGTATTTAAATTAATATTATTGTATTACAGAATATGTGGATTTAAATTATTTTTGAAGTGTACATTTGATTCTGTCTGAAGAGATGACTCATGATGTGCACAGATCACATCATTTTTTTTGGAATACCTTTCACCTACAATGTGGGTCGCCTTGACACTAAATTTTTTGAAATATTTGTTGAAGTCATTATTTACAATACTTTTATGGAAATCTTTAAACGAATCTAAGGTAGTTAATTTCTTTTTATTTCCAAAGAAGTTTGAATTATAAATGTTACATCAATTTCCCGTGTGGCGCCATCTATTCTTTCATATTGGAATTAATAAATTGCTGTATCGATATAAAAAATTGATATTAATAGTATTATTATTAATATATAATTTAATAAATTATCAGTTTCTCTAAATTTCAATTGTTAAGTGAAAAACGTGTGCACATGTATGTAATTTAAGAATTTTTTTTTATTAAATAATTTAATAATTTAATCTATGTGAATTTTATTATATATATATATATATATATATATATATATATTATACATATAGTATACATATAGCGATATATATTTTTATTTCAAATTACAATGATTTAATTATTGAAAGTCTTTTTTTAGAGATACAGGAAATCGTTCTTATTTATTAATCGTGCATATTATTGCATGAAAGATCCAGTATATGCGTAGGCACTCTTCTTTGAACAAATCTTGCCTTGATCTATACATATCCATATCAGGTATGACAGTGTGTGATTTAACTTCCTACGCTTACAACTGATGTATTTAAAAATATATATATATTTGTATAGGATCAATAAGTCATTCCATTCATATTAAAAAGTATAATTTTTTTTAAATTACGAATAAATTTTATAAAATTGATTAAATGATATTTTTTTTTATAAATAAAAAGAAAAAATCGTGTTAAAATGATAGTTATTTCAAGTTATTTTTGAGATGTTTGTCGTTAGGAATCTAATTGTAAACATTTCTGTATAACGCGTGTTAACCAAGATGCGCAACAGAGATGATGAACAAGGTTAAAAGGAGGGAGAGAAGAGAACAGAGACAAATGAAGAAGGAGATGGGTTCACGTAACAGATTCTGTAAATGCAAACTGAGAAACACGTGCTGTCAGTTCTACCTGATCTTGCAGTACATACGTGCCTTCTAACAATCATTTCTTCGCGTGCCATTACCTTGCACGTGAAAATAATTTCAAGCGGTATGAAATAATTTCATTTTTTTATTTTTATATGTTTTTATAGTTATAATCGTGATATGATTTCCTTCTTTCTTGAAGTATTAAATTATTATTATTATTAAATAATATAAGAAATATTTTTTTTTGATGTTTAATTTTACATGAAGTTTTTAGAAATTGGCAATTGAAAAGTTTATTTTATTTTATTTTTTTTACCAAATTGTTATCTTGTAATTGTTACTATTCCTTTAAGTATATTTTTTTTTATATAAGTAATTAAGCTTTGAATAGATTTAGAATTGATTAAAAAAATTTGCTATGTTTATGCAAATTTTGTTATATTTTCTTTTTATATTTCGTAAATATATTAAATTCTATTTAAACTTAATGTTATTAGATTTGATAATATTTCGTTGAAAATATAGCAATATGAATGATATTATGAGACTTGAATCGCCGATTACTCCGGCTCGTTTGACAACAATTCAAAAACATGCTTGTTGGGAACAATACATAAGTAAGTAATCATGGAATTAGTGGGAATATAAGTTAATAACAATAATCACTAACTAGGTATAAAAATTAATGTGTATAAATTATAATTGAATTCTAAATATACATGCATATATATAAATTATAATAATTTATTTTTTTAAGATGAATGTTTTACTTTACTTAATAATCGTATTAAATTCGCGACAATTCGCAATAATATATTCAAAAAGTAATATACTTAAAGGAAATATTTCATTTTATAATTACATGTGTATAATAATTATGATTTTTTTACAAAATTTATTAATTGTATAGAGATTTAATTTGGAAATTTATAACAAAAATGCATTTGTATAATACAAAATTAATCTAAATTAACCATATGATTCAGAAGTATAAAATAGATTCGCAGAAGTTCAGTAGGCTTTTTGCCAACGATAAATTTCATTTAAGCTTGTTATTATATTAACTTAAAATCATCCTAATTTAAATCTTAAATCAATAATTTCATTATCGATTAGATGAAAAATTAAAGTAATAATATTAATAATTTTGTTTTATATTATATAAAAATTTTTTACCTTTTCTCTAATAATCTACAAATTATCGACAAAATAGATTAATTATAAGTATATGTACTTACATATATATTCTCATTATATATATATTTTATTGGCGTTTTCAAACTTTCAAATTATAATATTTAATGAACATCTAATGTCATATTCAAAGAATGTTCTAATTTCTATGAAAAAATATAACTGTCTCATTCAAGTTTTATTTGTGAATCATTTCTTCGTACTACAAGGTTGCTTTTTCTTCATCTCGAAGTAACCTCGGATTTCTACTTCCCGTGTTGTGAGAATACTCCCTCCATCTTCTGTTCTTTCTCCTTCTCCAGGCCGGTTTGCCTCCTCCAGGTTTCTATTCTCCGGCTTCGAAGCCGGTCGCTTTACCGAGAACTTGATTGACAATCAGTACTGCTTTGTCGATCGTCATAAGTTCGCGTGCACAAATCTTGCCAATATCTCAATAAACACGTGACAGGTGGTTTACTCACGTAATTTTTCATTGTCGCAGAAAAGATATAAAACAGAGACAAATAGATACAAAAAAATGCATTATTTATAATCCATGCAATTATCAAAAGATAAATGGATATCAAATATTTACATTCAGACGTTCCTTGAAAATTCCGCGCAGTCTACAAATATTTTCAGTGTGTTTAATCATTCTTACGACGATCATTTTAATTTCTTTCTTTCTCGATTTGTAAATAATTTTAAAAATTGTGAATTGAAGTGTAAAATACGATTTCGTAAATATCCATACATTGCTTTCAATTCGACCGGAAATTTGTGGCAAAGTTCGACGTTCTCGGAACAGTGGGTGTGTCGCGGTTTGTCTCGCGATGGAAGCAGGATGCGAGTCGAAGGCTGGTGCCGATAATCTTTATGAACCTTATAATATTGAAAAAACGGAAACGAATTTTCTGAGTCTTGGTAAATGATAGATTTTTTATTCTTAACTGTTCATAACTCATAGAGGATTGACTTGAATGCTTATCTCAAAGGTTTACTTATTAAACAATGCTCACGTCAGCGTTTTTTTTTTCTCGTTATTTTGCCGAGAGGTAATAATAAAGTAGGCTTATATATATTTATAACATAAACGTTTTTATATTAATTGTTGGTAATCATCCAAAATTATTTTATTTGTTATAAAAAAAAAAGATTTTTATAAAAATGTTAGTCATGAATGTTAGTCATAGAATCTAAAAAAACTGGGGAGTAATGGGAGTAATTGAATAAATAAATTGTATTAATTCGATAAATTTGATTCTCAGCCTAAATTTACACTTATTTGATATTAATAATTCTTGTAAATTATTTATGATGAAAAACTTAATATATGATAAATGAAAATTTAATATATTTATCAGTATTCAGTATCAGTATCAGTATCGAGTCAGTATATTATTATCATTACTATTTATATACATAGCTATTTTATACATATTGCCATAAATAAGAAAAATTTTTACAAACCTGAAACAATATTTAAAAAGCTAATTATAAAAAATAAAAATAAAACGAATAAATAAGATATTTATAATAATATTTATAATGAAAAATACCCAATTTATTTTATTCTTAGAAAGAAGTAATTATCAATTTCATTAAATTCAAATCATTAAGAAAAATATTTCCTCATCGTAATAATTTAATGATTTCAGATGCATTGCTGGCAGATCTTCAGAACACAGTATCATCGGAAGGAAATCATGTCGGTAGTAATGCGACTCCTGGTTATGGATCACTGAACGGCGCACGAACTACCACTTATAGATCGTACGATAATCGAACTTCTCCTCTTCCGCCGCAATCGGTATGTAAATTTTTTTACAATATATTATCCGTCATATCATCATTGATAAGATAAAAAAATTTTTTATTTGAATGAAAATGCAACAGTTTAATTATCAATATTATTAAATGTAAAAACCAATTGTGCATCATTCGCAAAATAAATATTGTATATAATATGTTCAACGTATAAAAACAATCGTCATTATAATATAATAATCGTAAATCATAAATTTAATTCATCATTGAAATTCTACGGATTAACTTTTGTACATATCGATATCATTGTTTTATCTACATGATCAGAAACTCGATTGATTTAGGTTACAATTTTCTGAGATAGATGGCAGGAATGAAATGTTTCACTTATTGCGCTATTCTTGCGATTTCATTTTAAAATTTGCGATGACCTTCTCTCAGTTTTTTATATTCAAATGATTACTATGAAAATTTTGCTAAAAAATGACACTTAACTATATCTAAAAATAATCAAGATTTTATCAAAATTCGTTCAATTGAATAAATCAAATACAATTAATTGTTCGTATTTTTCAAAATTATTTAAGCTAACTTTATACTATGATCGTTCTTGTATAATGTATTTTTAGATGTGGCCATGGAAACGGCGCCACTCGACATATTGTTAGAAGTTGTTTAATACGAGTAGTTTCACGTCACACTTTGAAAATAAGTCGAAACAGTGACGGAATTTTTTCTAATTTCAGAAGAAATTTTAAAGCTTAATTTAAATAAACAAACGAACAATTGTATGAAAGGGTACATCTAGAAATAAGAGATTAAGAGATTATGACAAAAATTGTAGAATTTAAGTAAGAAATTGGTTATTAAAATTAGAATCAATATTATCTCTCGGTTGAGCGTAAAAACTATAAATTTATAAAAAAAAAAAGAATATTTTATTTTCGATCTTTCTTTTAATTCTATGACCATTTAACTATGAAAATTATCCAACGATCAAATGACTGATCTGCAATTTCATGGTTAATCAACTTTGAAATATGTTCCTTGATGAATCACATCGGATTCTACGATTACCATTCAAAATTATTAATGGATTGAGTTCGATCAGGAAATTCGATCGATCTCGCAGGAAATTGACCAATTACCTCTATCATCGCATAGTCACATTTATTATAAATTGATTCATTTCCAAATTGATACATTCAAAATAAAAAAAAATTCTAAAAAGTCGAAAAATTAAAAAAGAATAAATTCAAATAAAAAAAAGAAGAAGAAGAAATATAACAAAAAGATAAAAATATATTTTTCGAAGTGACTAAAATATATAAAATAAGATGTACATTGTAACAGAATTTGTAGACTTGGACGTTTATCGATCTTTTCAGTGGAATAGCTATTACATATCTTGGTAGTATTATCGATTGTCCTCCGGTAAGAGCGACGATCCATCAATTATTCAATCTTTCGACGTTTGAGTTGGCTGCAAGTTTCCCTATTCGCGTGCAACGCGGTTCCCATCGCGCCAACTGCATAAAATTCAATTGCCAAATCCAATTTTTGTTATAAAGTATTACAACTTTATCCGAGACTTAATTAGTTTCATCATTATGTTCGTTGACCATTTTGATCATTCCTTTATTGCATAATACACAAATATTTTACAAATTTCTTGAAGTCATCGTACAATTTATATGATTTTTATTAGAATTTAAAAGTTAAAAAAAAAATTCTAAATATAAAATATAAGTATTCTATTATAAATAATATTTAACATCTTCAAAAATATAATTATATAAATCAATTATTTAAAAAAGAAACAAAAAAAAAACTCTATTTTATTTCATCATTTCTAATCAAACGTTATTGAACGTTTTATATATTCACGCTTTATAAATTCTTCCTGGACATTGTAATAAATATACTTGATATTTTTTCGAACTTTAGTTTATTAATAGATTTTATGGTATCTATAAAAATTATTTTCCACTCTATATCTGTTAAGAAAAAAAAATAATAAAAATAAATCGAAGAAAAAAACAACTTTTATAATAATAATAAATTCTTGGAAATAGTAAAAACATATATACATCATTTTAATTTACATATATTCTCTATCGGTTGCAAATGTAATACTTTTCCTTGATTTTGCTAAACATTACTTGTATGATATAAATCATAAACCGCGTGATACATATTCTTCTTGGATGTCGCGAAATTTTACTGTAGCGTGACGTAGATTGGCTTTCTCAGACTTAGTCTTAAGCCACGATAAACGAAAAGTTGGCGGAAACTTGTCAAATCGCGAACTATTTTCCTTCGATTCGAATTTAGCACGAAGTAAAACGAACGATTACGTATTCGCGTGAGTTACAATGTGATTTTCGAAGGCGTTCTGTAAGCCGAACTTACTTAAGACATAGTCGATTCTCGAACGATATATTGCGATATTTTCAATGAGAACGTTTCCAGTGTTATCTTCATATCGTTTCTTTTGAGATTTGACTATTCTCAACTCTACGTAAATTGAATTTCTTATAGATAACATTAGAAAACATGAAATCTCATAGATGAAAATTTCTTATTCGATTTATTTTTTCAAGTTGGATAAATTTTTTTTTAATTTATTAAGTTTCATATGTCATATAAATCATGTCGGTTTATAAACTCGTGTTTATTTTTTGATCGACCAACCTTGACGAAAACTCTCACAGGCTGCGATTCGATATTCGAGGAAACCAGTCGAAGAGATTTTAACCAGGGTTCTGCAGGATTCTCGACGTATCGCGACATGTTTTCTTCACCAGTGGTTTGCTATGGATATTTTTGGAATGACAACTCACCGACCTAACCTAGTTTCCATCAGGACGTCCACTAACATAGTTTCATGTCATTTTATCGTGGAAATATGAAAAAAAAAAAAAATGTTACGGCCGAATAGATAGAATAAACGTATGTTTCCTTTCATCTATTACTATATCTAGTTTAAACAAGAAATCAAATTGAAATAATGTTTATTCGATTCTAATCCATTATCGGTTAGATTTGCGGAACAAATTTGAGGCGATTCTCTTACTCGAGAATTTTGCAATAAACGAGAAATTTTGGTCTGTTTGGCGAGCAAGTTTCTATTAAAAGTATATGACGCCTTGTCCTCCGTATGTCCACCTAATTGATAATGTATTTACAAATTCTGCATAGCATCTAATGACATCATGTTTTGAAATAATATTAAATATAATGCTTCTGCGGGAACTTGGCAGATTTACTTCACTTTTTTCTCTCGTTCTTTAACAAATAAGCGACCATAAACAGAAACGTCGATGCATTTTCAGCTTTCCCCCTCCCCTTATACTCACTTATTAAAATTAAGATCAATCTTGAATGAGCGAATGCTAAATTATTTAAAATTACATTAATAATTATTATTTCGCAAATAATTTTAAAAAATATTCGTCAAAAATTGGAGAGATTGTCATTGGGTTAAGAATCGATGAGAAATCGAAAATGGAAATAATTCTTACAGCCAACTTATCAGAATCGCGAAGCTATCGAGGAAAGCATCGCGAAAAGTAGCGGAGGAGGAAAAATGCCTTCTTTAAACAACAATCTCTCGGAGTTAGACACGTTGCTCCAAGATTTAAGCAACGCCCATTACAATGCTCATTATCAGGAAAGAGGTTAGCATTTTACTTTCGTATATGTTTATTTAAATTTTTGTTTAAAGATATTACGATTAAAATATCGATCACCGTAGAAAATCGTATTTCCTCGAGTGGAATGAATGGAGATTCTAGTCCAATGCTTCGTTCTCCAAGTAGCATGTCAGCCTCGAGACCAACCGTCGATTCATTGCTCGAGGAGTTGAGTACCGCGGTACCAAACGGGTAAACTTTCTCATTTTTGATAAAAAAAAAAAAAAAAAAAAANTTAAAAAATTTGATGCTCGATATCGAATGCTCGAATCTAATGCGATTTCTTTCATCAGGGATTATCCTTCCGATGGAAGAGTGAAAGTTACCATACAGGAAACGTCGACGGAGATTCAACCCGTCTATGACGGTTATCCTTCTAGACAACACGGATCGTTAAATCGTAGCGAAGTCCAGAGAAGTTATAGTAATGGTCATACTGCCAGTAACGCTACCAAGGAACTCGATGATTTAATGGCTTCTCTATCCGAATTTAAGGTATGTGTCAATCATGAAATTTGTCACTTTATGTATTCTCTTTATCGTTTTCATTCTCGATTATTTATCAGTTGAAAACATAGTTATAATGAAATTGCATAATTACTGGATTTCTCAATAACGGTTGCAATAATTGTTTTTATAATATTTATTTATTATTAAAATCATTATAGAATGAGAAAACAGTGCCGTTAAAACTATCTCTGCCCATTCTTGGCTCCCTAGGTTACCAAAATAACTTCCATTCCACCATCTACCACTAGTCAACCATCTACTCCTCATCTCTCTTTCTCTCTCTCCTTCATCCGTTTCCTTTTCTTCGTCTTCACTGATTTTCTGTAGTAGGGGAGTGAAAATATAGAAGGTGGGGATTATAGTGATCCACGAAATCTCTCAAAGCTTTCAGCCAGTCTGCAAGCTCATCTCTGCCAATCGACATCTCTCGCGGGTCCTTAAAATTTTTCAATCTTATCTTGAAATATCTTGACATTCCAATTTTAGTAGCTAATTTTTCGTAACCCTAACTTTGTCGTCGATTTTTCTTTTAACTTTCAAGCAACTTATTCGCTTTCCATATTTGCTTTTCATCTTTGCTTGATTCCTATTCTAAAGCATTCTATTTCTTCTATCTATATGCTCAAGCTGATTATTCTTACATTGTACATTTACAGATCAATAGTAGTTCCCATCAACATCAAACAGTGACTGATTCTCCATACGCTAAACCGAACAAAGCGACCAAAAGTTCACAAAGCCCGTTGCCATCCGAGGGCACGCAAACTAGAATTCATATCACCGAAACTCACACCACTCATCACTACCAACAGCAACACGGAGAACCTTATCCACCACAGCCAGCGACTCAGACCAAACAGAATCAATTGGATTCTATGCTAGGAAATCTTCAAGCCGATATGAGTCGTCAAGGAGTGAATACTACACAAAAAGGATGCTGCAGCGCTTGCGAAAAACCTATCGTGGGACAAGTAAATGAAACTAAATCATCTTGGATTTCCCTCGATATATATATATATATATATATATATTGACTTCTCTAAGACGATAAAGTTAAACGTATTTTTAATTACAGGTGATCACTGCTCTAGGAAAAACTTGGCATCCAGAACATTTCACATGCACGCATTGCAATCAGGAACTGGGCACGCGAAATTTCTTCGAAAGAGAGGGGCATCCGTATTGCGAACCTGATTATCACAATCTTTTTTCTCCACGTTGCGCCTACTGTAATGGCCCCATTCTAGACGTAAGACGTCTAACAAAAGTCACGCGCGATGTTTCGATCGCTATCTAGAGTTGCATCATGTTTTCGATTCTCGTTATTTTCAGAAATGTGTGACCGCTTTGGAAAAAACTTGGCATACGGAACACTTCTTTTGCGCTCAGTGTGGCAAACAATTTGGAGAAGAGGGATTTCACGAGCGGGACGGAAAGCCATACTGCCGAGAGGATTACTTCGATATGTTCGCTCCAAAATGCGGTGGATGTAATCGTGCTATTATGGAGAATTATATATCGGCCTTGAACAGTCAATGGCATCCAGACTGTTTCGTTTGCAGGGTAGGTCGTGCATTCGTTAATGTTCACACGTAACAAATATTTTCGATTTCCAGCGATGTTTCAGGATTAATGCAAACTATCGATGCAATTGTTTAGCAGTTCGGTAGCTTTAAAATATACAACTTGTAGGATTGCAAGAAGCCAGTTTCTGGAAAGTCGTTTTATGCGATGGAGGGCAAACCTGTTTGCCCTAAATGCGTTGGTGTCGATGATGATGAAGAGGAAGAAGAAGAAGAAGCATAAGCAATGCTTCGATTTTTTATGTAAAAAATCCTATTGTTCCTTCTTTATGCTGTCAGGCTGCAAAAATGTATAAACCTGACTTTCCCCATATTTTTTCAACAGGTGATTTAGGTAATCCACGAAGGAAGAATGTGCTGATTTGATTTCATCGCCGTCGTATCTATCTTTCTCGAAATTACTCATTTACATGGACACATATAAATACACACACATACACATATACATACATACATACATACATACATATGGATAAATGTATAATATACACTACAAACAATTAGGATATTGTTAAGGAACATAATATTATTCTATGGAAAATTATTCAGTGCAGTCGGAATTGATTTTTGTTGTCGAACTACGTTTTTTTAGATAGATGAACATTATTAACAATCAATCGTTATACTAATATCAATTGCTAGTATTGTATGCAAAATAAAAATAAATTAGGAAAAAAAACGAAAAAACATACACAACACAAGAGTTAGCTCGAAACTCTGACTCTGACGCTGCCGCTTTCCACGTGTCTTCATAGAAGACAAGTGTGATCGAATGCCGGCGAATCCTATATTATCTAATCGTAATGTTGTTACGAATTACGATCTGTATTCTGTATTATATGTTCGTATATTTAACTCTTCCATGTTTATATATGCGCAGCATATAAACAGATGTGTATGAAACTTATATTTATCTGGTTGAAACGCCCCTCTGTGTTATGGTGAAATCGTTCTAGATTCATTCATAAATGAATGAATAGAACTAAAGATGCAGCATTAGTGCATTAATGTGTACTATTGCATTCTATATATTAATTTTTTTCTATATATAATCATGTTTAATAATTTTTTTTTTTTCATAAATATTTTTAATTGACATAGCAATTTTTTTTATATCCGTAGGATTGTAGACAAAAATTCCAAGGTGGCTCATTTTTTGATCACGAAGGTTTACCTTATTGCGAAACTCATTATCATGCTAAGAGAGGATCCCTTTGTGCAGGATGTCATAAACCAATTACAGGTCTCTGAATTTTCATTTTTCTGTACCTCAAACTTTTATATTGCTATAATTGTTAATAGAATTAACTTATTAAATAAACGTTTTTCTTTCAGGTCGTTGTATAACTGCTATGTTTCGAAAATTTCATCCCGAACATTTCGTATGCGCGTTTTGTTTAAAACAATTGAATAAAGGTACTTTTAAAGAACAAAATGATAAACCATACTGTCATGGATGTTTCGATAAGTTATTCGGTTAAAATTTATTATAAAGTATTCATATTTCTAATAAAAACGAACAAGCTATTCTGCTTGGCATTACATATTTATAGACTGCTCATGTATGGTCTATACCGCATAGAATATGTAATCGCTTTAATCGTTATGCAGAAATACGTATCAGGATTTAAAGTTCTCGTTGTAACCCAAGGCAGTCTTTGAAAATTTTTATAAATCTCAATATGCAAATGGTGCAACAATTTAATTATATGTCATGTATTGTTATATATTCTTATATATCATAAGAATAAGATAATAGAATAACTGTAGTCCTTTGTATCTTCCATCGTCCGAAGTATGAAGCATGTTGCTAATATTTTTATGTATATTTTATATTACGTATTTCGAATTAACTGTACAATCAAAGGATTATTAAAGGGTGCTAATTATTAGCTTATTTTTATTAATAACATATTCGTTGACATATTCAAAAAAAAAATTATTCGAAAGAAAAATATTTATGTAAAATTGGAACGTTACTAAACATTCGCTGTGTTTTTGATAGATTTGATATACAAATTTGAAAAATATTTATATTTACAACTGAAATACATAGTTAAGATCATTAATATTTGTCGAATTTCTACTAAATATTCGCAAGAAATATATAATTAATTATAAATCTAATAAAATGAATTAATCAAAAACAAAATACATAATGTAAAACAGTAAAAATATGTGAGTTAAAAAATTAATAATGCACTTTGTTTTTTAATCATTTACTATTTCCTATTATTTATATTTATAAATATTAAAAAATAATGATTAATAGTGATAAAATATAAAAATAAACTAAAGGTTTTTTAAATTCATTTATTGTTTATTTGGCATACTGTTGCACAGCATCTATTATTTTTATAATAAACATTTATGAGGTATTATATACATTAATTACTATTTTGTTTAAAAAATTTTTTACAACGATATAAATAGTGAGTGTTAAATCAAATTTAATATTACAAATACATGTACAAAATAAAAACATGTATAAAAATTATACTTTATATCTGTGTTTTCAGTTTATAAAGTGATTTGTGTCACAATTTCTGTGCTACTTATAATACACTAGTATAAAAAGAACAAATAATTTTTTAGTCGGGACAATGATTTTTTTGCAAGTAAAAATAACGAATATCACAGACATTATATTTTAAATTTTCTTCTTTTGAGAAAACTGTCATGCTAGTGTTGGAAATAATTCAGAAAAACTTTCGTGCCAAAGATCCGTCAAAGTAACGTTATTTTTTTCGTGTCGTATATCAGAATTCGGAGAACCGTGCGATTCGTATCCACAATCAGATGCATTAGAATCCAATTTGGAATGTGTATAATTAGTTTCCATTTCTTCGGAATATATACTCGAAGGTGACATAGAATCCGTGTTCGTGTAACATGGAGATAAGTGATCGACATAATAATTCGGTGTTAAATATGTTGAATCTTCATTTGTGCAAATACTGTCTGTAACTACTTCTTGAACGCATTCTTGAACGCTTACATTAGTTTCATCTCCAGGATAAATGATCATTACGGAATTGGTTGCTTCGTCGTAAGTACCATAAATAGTGTCTAAATCATGTGTATCGACTTCTTGTTTTATTTCAATCTCTGATTTTATTGACATGGGTACGCTCGTACTTGTGGTATAAGGTGTACTAGCTGTGCTAGAAACAGGATGCCATGATTCATGTATATTCATGCTTCTACAGGTTCCATTGGTTTCCACATCTTTTGATGTCTGCCCCACCACTCTTTCTGAATAGTGACATTCCTCAGTGGTATTTTCCTTGGTTGTTGCCTACACAAGACACAATCATTATATTATTAACAAAAGGAAGACTGAGTTGTACATCAAAAATATGAATTTAGAAACAAATGAAATATTTAATAATATTCAAATGTTGTATTCTAAATTAAAAATCAGTAATTTTAAGTATATTATAGCATAACAATATTGAAGTTTTTTTGTTTTTTTAAATAATTCATTCATTTCTATAGTATAGAATAATAAAATATTAGATAAAATGTACAACATAATATAATATAGTTATCTAGTCAATATAACTGATTATTATCAAAACACTCACTTGTTCATTTGTTCTATGAGGATTTGCTTCCACTTCTGCTGTAACTTCTCGCAGAAGACTTTCTGCAAGTTTTTCAAGTCGTTCGATATAATCATCTCCTTGGAGTTCACTAAACAATTCTTCAAGAGGAAGTAAATGGTCAGAATCTTCAGAAGAATTGTTGCTCCTGGAGTTAGTGTCAGAGTTGATGCCAGCTGTGTTGTTCCACCCTGCTGCAGAGGGTGAGTGGAGGATACTGTAGATCCCAGTGAGGACACAGCACAGCTGACACGACTCTGACACATGGAACAAACAAAGTCTTCTGTGTTCTTGATTTCTCTTTCTTTCCTCAATCTTTTTGTTTCTGTAATCAACACTTCATTCTGCGATCTTAACATCGAACATTCCTGTGTCAATAATTCATTTTGTTCTCTTAACCTTCGAACAGTTTCTTCTAATTCATCAAGTTTAGCCTTTTTACGATCCCGAGATGTTTGAGCTGCTACTCTATTTTTTAATTTCCTATGAAATATTTTAATATCTAATTAATATAATGTATTCTAATATTTAACATCTAATTTAATATTCATAATTAATTAATATTTGCATCATTCCTTTTAAACATACTTTCTCTGAAGTTTTTCTTCCCATGTCAAATGGTCCAGCCGTCGTTTTTTTCCACGAACGCAAACATCTGTTTTGAATGATAAACTTTCATCCTGAATTTCTTCGTGTTTAGTGATTTTCTTCGTATCCATATTCGGTTTATTAGTTAACACAGAAGTAGTAAAATTTAATTTCGGCACAGATTTTGGTAATTCGCTTGTTGAAATAATGCCAGGCGCCTTTGATGACAGGCCCTTAGGCAATGTGATTATAACACTTTTCAATACGTTCATAATCAGCCATAAAATATAAATTAATTTACTATTGTCACTTATTTTAAAATTTCACCACTTTATCTTCCCAAACTTCTTAAGCCACCGACTATCGGAAAGCGACTGATGTGAAGCATAACACTGCCTATCAAGAAAAAATTCCATATGCGTTTCTAGCTGATGTAACCGTACTGACGAACTGCAGCATTTGACTAACCGAAGAATATCCTAGAACAACAGTTGCATCAGTCTTTGATATGACTGGCTGAAACTAGGAATGTTACATGTGGTGAACTGTCATTGGTTGCCACATCGTATTTCTTCGCGCACTTTTTTACTACTACATAGTCAAATAATTACACTTTATTGACGTCATATAGTATACATGTTACTTTTTTATATTGCTTTTATCCACTAAGATTATACTCTACTATTTTTCAAACTTTTTAAAATCATCTAATTAATGATGACTCATTCGATAAGTTTTAACACTAATTTCAAAGTTGTTATATCATTTGAATTTATTATTTTTAATTGATCAACATTGTTGTATTAAAATTTATTGTTACTTATAAAATATTTATTGTGAAAAGTGTTTGATAAATATCATTTAAGTTTATCATTTAAAATTATATTATATTATATAATATTATGTAAAAAATATAAATGAAATTTTAATCATGCAATATATGTAATATATTCAAAAATGTAATGTAATTCAAAAAAGAAAAAAAATTATAATTTATCAAAATGTATGAAATTTTTGTAATTAAATAATTAATACAAAAAGAAATGTAAATTAGAGAAATCGAAATTTTGAAATCATTATAATTTTCAATTCAATTATAATATTTATGAATCATTTTACACGTATGTATTATAAATTATTTATTATATTGATAGAAGAAAGATGAAATCACAGACGAAATGAAGGATAGAGAAAGAGAAAAAATAATTGGAGAAGAACAGAGATTAAAAAAAAATAGGAACCAATGCCATCTTCAGAGTGCCGTAAAAAATGAACTCATATAATGAAACTCATATAGGTAAAGATAAATAAATAAAAAAAGATAGAGATAGAGAATTGATTATTAGTACCATCTCTTGGATGCCAAAGACATCTATTTAAATGCAGGATAAAGTAGAACAAGAATTGAGAATTAGCGTCATCTCTTAAATATTTTTAGAAGCACAATTCTTTGAAGAAATGTCTTATTCCAAAGATGGTATTGATGGTTAATTCTTATTATATCTCTATCCTTTTTCTACTATTTGTTCTTACCTACATGAGTTTCATTTGCGGCATTCTGAAGATGGCGCTGATTTCCATATTTTTATCCTATCTCTATCCTTTTCCCACTATTCGTTCTTTTCGTCTTATATTTTACAAAATAATATTCAAAAAATGATACCGATATTCGTTTAACTTCGTTGTTTTTTTTTGTCTAACTTATTAATTAAAAATCTTAACAAAATCTATTCAATTTAATTTTGAGACAAAAAAAAGAATAAATGTTAGAATTATTGTGTATCTGATTTGAATATTATTAATAATCGATATGTTCACTGTTGAATATAGAATACTATAAAATTTAAAATAAATTTCGTACGTATATGTTTAAATTATTTAGTAGAATTTGTACAACTCTTTTTTATTTAATAGAACGTTTATTTAATAGAACGAGAAAGTTTATTTAATATGTAAAAGTATAAAATATATTTTCAGATGCACAAACCAATCAAAAATTTTCGCACGAGAAGAAACTAAACAATTATATCAAGTTGGCTAGCCCGATGGTGCATCGCGCATCGCATTTCATAGATACTAGCCATTAATCTACGGAATCGACCACACTGTAGACAAAGAAGCTACAAAGAGACAAAGAAGGAAAATATTGAGAGGAAGAGGGCGTTGCAGAATGTCACGAGTAGACACGAGGATTCGACAGGACTTGGCTTTCAGTCGCAGCTCGGCAGTCTGTACGAGACGAGCGAAATACGTATAGTAAGGTGTGTAGTTTGTATACATATACATGCACGGTGCATGTATATTACCACTCATAGACATACTCTCGCGTGTGTAAGGGTAACCGATACGTCGGACGAGTTGACACACGCGCAGCAATGGCGTACCCCTTTGAAGAAGCCTGAACGTGTTCTGTCGTTTAATTTTTCTTTGTGCAGCTGTGTTTAAAGTGAGTGAAAAAGACAAATAATTTGAGTAAAATTTCTTATATATAAAGCAACGATAGAATTGCAAAACAACGTCGGCATATTAAAGTGTTTCAATCTTGTTGAAACGAAGAAACGAGACGTTACGCCCAGCCTGTTCAGATCCAAGCCCCCATTGCTTGCTCTGATATATAAATCTACTCTTCGTTTTCATGAATGTCTCTGAATTTTGTAAATAAAAAATCTGATTAAAAGTGGAAGTGTGGCATTTTAACGTTTAATTGCAAATATAATGCATACATGTAGCAATCGAAATATTACGTGCGAAGGATTTGTGAAAGAGTGAAGTGGATTACTATATGTATCGAGAATTCGAAAGGGAAAAGACGAAAAAAATACGTTTATATAGAGAAGAAAAAGGATTTTGAAATAGAAACGAGAGATTAGAGAGAAACAAATAGAAAGGGAAAATCATAGAAGGCAAAGATCGATGTTGCAAGGAAGCCGGTGTCCAACAAATCAGGGCCGGTGGTGTTCGAATTCATAGTCAGTTGTAAGCTCTTTACGACTTTTTTTCCTTCTCTCTCTCTCGAAATATGCGATAACGCTCTTTTGCTCATGTACATTGGGGGCTTCTGCCTCGAGGGCTTTCCTTGGTGTTGGATATAATAGCTGATTGGTCCAACCCTTGGATAAGGCAACCCTCTCTCGCAGCGATGAATCGGACCATTTTTTTTCGTCTCATTTCAAGATTTGCCCATAAAAATTGCGAAAAGTACCACAATTATTAAGAGGATCGTATTGTCAATACGATTGGAAGAGAGATATTAAGAAACCTATTAAGAAAAGAAGGATAAAAACAAGGGAAGAAAAAAAAAAGAGAAAAGAGAAGTAAAAGAAAGGGGTTAGTCAAGAAAACTAAAGAAAAAAGTGCTGGAGAATCGCGAATTCGCGTCTCCGGCTGTGTGGTGAAAGATCGGGTAATCTCAACGCTGGGCGAGACGGAGAGCAGTGGATCGTGGTCGTCATCGGGGAGAATAATCACGAGGATCCCACGAAATGAGAGGCTAGCGTTCGAGGTGGGTCGTTGGTCAGCGGGCGTGCAAGAAGGGACGGTTCGGCGGCGGAAGCCTGGATAGTAGGAGGTTTCCAACATGGCCGCTGCCTGCTACGAGAAGGAAGTGGTGGTAGGTGCCGCTATGCATGGACACGGTCATCACCATCACCACCACCATCATCATCACCATCACCATCACCATCATGGAATCGGCGGCGGATCTACCGGCGGTGGCGGCGGCCCGGCTGCCACGGGTGCCGCGACGGGACCGAGCGGACAGCAAACCGTCCTGCCGGCCGCATCGACCGGCATCCTCGACACCACCGTCACTGCTGCTGCCGTCGGCTCCGGTACGACCGCAAACACAAATACGACGACCGCCACCGCGACCGCAGCAGCTGTCGCAGCCGCGGCGGCAGCCGCTGCGGTTGCAGTCACCACCTACAAGGACTACAAGGATTACTCGCAACCTCTCCACGTTGACTGCAGTGTCGAGTACGAGCTGCCGAGCCAAGCAAAACCACCACCCGGTGGCGGTGAACCTCTTCTCATGATACACCCATGCTATTATCGACGAGCTGAACGCGAAAGGAGAAGTCCTTTCGTCAACAATCTACCACCACCAGCGAACGCGCCGATTTCGTCGAGGCGAAGCAGCAGGCGAAGTGCCTCGGCCGCTGTCGTTGCCACCGCGACCGCAGCCGCTGCCGTTTCCTCCACCTCGTCCGTTGTTGCACCCTCTTCTACGGCTGCCGCCGTTTCTACCTCGACCGTGTCATCTTCCAGCTCCGCTGTCGCAGCCGCAGCAGCAGTCTTATCGGCAACTGTTGTCGCAACAAGCGATTCAGGATCGAATCTCGTTTCCACAACCAGTCAAATGTCTGCTGCGGCTATGGCAGCTTCCTATCGTGCGGCTCTCAACGCTGCTGCAACTCTATCGCAACAACAACAACAACAACAACAACAAAGACGTCAACATCACCCGCAACAGCAACAACAATCACAAGCACCTCCACCGCCGCCACAGCAGCAACAACAAAGTCATCATCTTCATCGATCTCATGCTCATCCCCTCCACAATCAACAACCGCAGCAGCAACAGCAGCAGCAGCAACAGCAGCAAGTAAGTTCGGTGTCGTCAACCTCTTCCGCCACCGAACTAATCTCTGCTGATGAAAAAGCAGTCATATCAGGTATTTATCAACACTACTTCCGCGCAATGCGCGCTCACAATCATCAGCATCGACAGCAACAGCAGCAACCGCAGCAGCAACAAGCAACGCAGCAACATCGAACGACTCATCAGATTCATCATCAACCTCACCAAAGCGACCGAAGTTCCTCCTCGTCGGTGACACCAACGGTTACGTCAATATCCGGCATATTACGGCAGACTTATCAACAGACGTATAATGCGACGAATTCGAGTTCGTCAAGTCATCTACGGGCAACAACGGCCTCAGTGGTCGGGCATCATCCGTATAGGCGACCGTCGACGACGTTACGTGCAACGTCGCACATTGGTCAACAGGCTTCCTCCTCTTCTTCCTCGTCCTCTTCCTCCTCGACGTCGATCGGTGCTTCCAGCAGCGTTTCTTCTGGTGGCGTTTCCAGTGTATACGCGAGCACGATACACAGGCATCATGCCACTTCGCTACACGCCCTTCAAGCGGCTGGTTTTTACGAAACGCCTGGTTATCATGCGCTTTTGCCGCAGAGTTAGGTGTCTACCAGCAGCGTGAACTCGCTCGAGACCGACCCTATTGCCAACCTTCATTTATTCACCTAATCCGGCTACAAAGCTGTGTGCTCTCTCTTCCCTATTGTACGACTTATCTTCCATACTCGTTAAAGCGCATACGGGTTGGTCTAACTCTGCCTAGTACACTCGGGATACATCTATCTCTGCGACATACACGCTACTTCTCCCTACGTGTATTCACTGTATATACGTAAATGTGTATGCATACGTATATACGTGTATGTATGTACCGTCGTCGACGCAACGATCGTACGTGCCGTGCTCTCCGTGTTGGCAGTAGTGTGCGGGTGGCCGGACGGACGGACGGACGGACGGACGAGCAGAAAGCCACAGAATAAACACACGACGCATACACACCACCACCATCACCACTATTATACACAGATATACATTCAACCAGAGACAGATGGATGGAACCGCGAACAACTGAAATGGTCGTCTATCGACCAATTTCATCCACCTGCGATACGTGTGCGCTTCTCAGGTATAAAAATCCATTTGCTTAGGTCTTGTATTAACGTTTTATTATTTTTAGTCATACACTTTCAGCCAAAGACACGAGATTTCCTCCGCGTAAATTCTTGAAACTCGAATGCCTTTCTTAGCCGGGCAAACATCGTGTACACGCGATCCTTCTCTCGTTGTATGCCATCGCTGCTGTAGTCACGACGACGGTGGCGGCCGCGGCGGCGGCCCCTTTCGCTCTTTTTCTCATCTCCTTCATCTTTGAATACCGACGGATCGCGTACACAATCGGTCAACAAATAGTATTTTTCAGATATACGATCGATATACATACAATTTAGTCGCATTTTCAAACGAATTATACATTATATTGATTGTCAATAATTCATTATATCGTTATTCCCTAACTAGCGAATAGCTTTGATTTCGCTTCAGGTCTTCTCTGCTTATATACTCGGATCCGATCGACAATCATTGTAATCGCAAGTGCCAAAATTTGAATGCAACGTTATGTACATTTTCCGATAGAGTACAAGCGCAATTTTTTTTTCCTCGAACAAAAACCACATACAAGCACACTTGTCTTTTTTTTCTCTCTTCTTTTTCCTGCGAGCATGTACAGGAAACGACAATGTGACGTAGCAATTGCATTTGTCCTGCTCTAACGGAACGTCCGTTTCTCGTTTCGTCCTTTCTCCCAGAACGCTTCTCGTTTCTTCGTTCGAACTTCTTTGTTTTTCTCCATCTCTGTCCGTCTCTCGGAACGGAACATCTCTAGAAAGGCGAGAGAGGTCCGAGAGAGAGTCGGGGCAGCAGGATTTCTTCTTTTTTGTCCTGCGCCCTTTTCAAAGAGCGCGCTCAAGGAGAAACGGACGGGGACCGTATTTCGTTACACGGTAACGATCGATCAACGTGACCGCACGACCGCACTGGCGGTACGGGCGAGCCGTGGCGAAGCGAGACGAAGCGAGGCGAGGCGAGGCGAGGCGAAACGAGACGACGACGAGTCGGGACGAACGGTCGGGACGGGACGGGATGGGACGGATCTGGGCGGTTACGGGACGTGGGGAGTACGAGGGACGCGACCAAACCAGACGAGAAGGGGGCGCGGTCAAGATGGGGATCGGTATATAGACGAAACCAAGAGACTGCTCGCACGCATCGGAGGGAGCGGGACGCGTCGCCGCGTGTTCCGAAAACACTGACGACCGCGTACACGGATGGACGTTAGACTAACAGCCGCTAATGTGAACCTGCGACTCCTATAATTTCCAACCGTCGTGCGTCTCGCAGAACTTTGGAAAATTGGTTAGAAGGGGAGAACTAGATAGATTGGAAGTAACTTCGGGAATACTCGAAGAAATAAAAAGGGGAAGAAATATGAAAGTCACGTTTCGTTGCTTCATTCGATAAAAAAAAAAAAAACCTCTCGATAGGGTATCGATTCTAATAAATTTCTTTTCGTGAATTTACATTCAACTCTCACCACTCCCTTTCATGTGACTGACTTTAACGACCTGTTTTCTCCGATTGTTACAATAATGTGTTAAGAAAAGACTGCTCGCAAATAGTTTATTTTTGTAGGAAAAACTCGTGTATTTTCGTGCGATGTTTCCCGAAAAGAAATTCGTGGAAGAGATCCAAAGAAAAAGAGAAAAAAAAAAAAACTGTGAATAAAATAGAAAGAGGAGGAAAGGGTCGTATCGTCTACAGTGTATCGCGGTGTGTTATCCTCTAGCGCGTATTGCGTTTGACACGAAATGTATCGAAAATACTTGATGGAGCACAATCAGGCGCAATCGTACCTCCTTCGGGCGCACACAACCCGGTCGATAGTAAATACGTTTCCTAGTTATATAGATCGTGGCTCTGTGCGCACGGCAGAGGGTTAAAAACTTCATCCACTGATAGATATTTATACGATGTGGAAGGAAGGAGGGCATTATTGTGCCTCGTTGAAACCCCCGTCGAACTCGTTATATAATGTGACGTGGACACATCAGGTAATTAGGAAGCGTCGCAAGCAGAAATGTTGGCTGCTGACTTTGAAAAGGTTTCACTGGTTTGTTTATCGGTTTCTTCCTATCTTTCTCGCTCTTCGCCGAATGGACAAAGAAAAAAAACTTCGCTTGTACGTTATTTTTAAATATACACATAACGCCTGTGGAACTATTTCTCCACGATATTCTACTTTCGAATGATCGTATCCCGATGGATTTTCACAACGCGTGAAAATGGTGGCCATGTTAAATCGTGATCGGTACAATCGGTTCACGGATCGAATTCTGATTCGACTGATTCCAATATCGGGATCGGACACAAAGGCGACGCGAAAATGTTCAGTTTCGTGTGTACACGAAGTCTCTCGTTCCTGGTAAATTTTGTTGGCAGAGCTCGGTTGTCGAGAGCAGAGTTCGTTCCTGGCACCACTTACCCTTCGCCGTCCATCTCGGCCGAGCATTTCCGCCCCGGTGTTTTTGCTCGTTCAAAGGGAACGAACCTCTTAGCGACGAAGTAGAGGGAAGCTAAACGGATACAGGGCCTAAATACAGTTACTTGAACTGTGAAGGACGGAAAAAACTTTTCGCGTTACTCTTTTTGCAAACTGTTTACCAATCGATAGACTTTCGACTGATAAAATTTCGTATTTTCATTCTCGAAAAATATCAATTATTAGTTTAATATTTGTTCATATGTGTATTCTAAAATACCGAGATGTTAAAAAACGATAGGTAAGTGGATTTTTTAAGAAGTAAAGAATTATAGTGATAGTTTCCGATAATATAAAAAAAGATAAATGTAGATATCGTTAATCCCAATTATCGATATTTTTTATTCTTTTAATATTTTTAATATTCACTTCTTTTTTTTTCCATTTTTCTTCAAAAAGAAAAAATTTTTTTAAATAATTAAAAAAAAATAAGTAAATTTACATTTTTAATTTTAATCGTTAATCTTCGATTAATTATTTGATTTGATCAGCTTTATTAAACATTTTTCCATCGATTCTTCATCTCTAGTTTGATATTTCGATCTAGTTTCTCCTTTTTCTTCGTTCATTTGCCCTCTTTTTCTCTTCAGTTTCTCCGTAATCTGCCATCAACCGCCTATATACATATACACTACTTTCATGTTCGATTCGTATATGCTGTCGTATATTCCATCGCTTCCTATGCAAAGGATACGCTCGTAGAATTCGATTGTCGTTCGTCGGTATGTCGAAAGTGAAAAAAAGAGGGGACTCGCGGACGAGCGAGCGAGCAAAAGAATGAACGAATAAGACTGTTAGCCTGGGAGCATTGTAGCGTCGCTACGACGAGACACGGTCGAATGTCAAGCGGAGTGTCGGTGCTGATACGATCGAGCTACGCCTTAAACTTTTCACCTCGTGCATATCAGGAATCAAAGCTAAAAAAGTGCCTCGCCTCTTATGATTACGCGATTCATGAGAAACCGTCTAAACCGTCTTTGTTTGTGCCGAAAGTTTCGCGTGTGCCAAAATTTACGTTTATTGCATATGCATTTTTATCGTATCTTTCCCGAAACTCGAAAATTACTCGAAAATATTCGTTTGCGCATTTTTTTTTTTTTTTTTTTTTTCCCTTCCAAATCAGTATTACTTTTTGCATTTATATCGCCTATATTCCAGGTGAGGTCAACGTTTACGTCAATCAGGTATATTATCGTTGTTATCGTCTCGAAAAAGCTGGGAGCATTACGTAAGGGGAACGTTGAACGACTTTCCGGGCTGCGCGCATCTTCTCTAGGGGAGATAACGCGATAGAGGCGCTCCTCTTCTCTCTCTCGTAGTTGCCACCGGCTCGATCTCAGGAAACACGTGCACGCTGTGCACCACTCGCTTTTTCTTTTTTCGCGTCTGATTCCACGATTCTTCTTCTCTCCCTGCACGGAACACACTGTTCATCGTGATGGCATATATATACATATATATATATATACGTGGCAGAATCCACTTGCATAGAAATTTCATTTTTGTCCTCTCTCTCTGTTCAACTTGTTTATCCTAACCGAGGCTATCCCATTAAGTTGGAAACGTCTCGATCGAAGATGTATTTTCAACGAACGAGTTCTATGTTCGCCGCCGAGTTCAACGAGTACAAGAACGAGCGTGCTTGTGTAATATACGCGTTAAACATCACATAGAACCACCCACATGACTCGATGCGACACGTGTGTATCGCGAAGGAAATAATACACGGCATGTGCGGTCGTTTCGGTCATTTCTTTTCTTCTTTTTCTTTTTTTTTTTTTTTTTTTTTTTTTTTTTTTTTTTTTTTTTTTTTTTCTTTTCTTTTATTTAACATTTGCATTCAATGAATGCATTTCTACACCGAAACGATTACGATACTTTTCCTTCTTCTGTCTTCCTTGTCCTTTCCTTCTTCTTTTTTTTCGGGGAGGGGGAGTTTCTCTCTTCTTTCTCTTTACTTTGCTCGATTGATCCGCAAAAACTCTTGATTGTTTGTCGCGTTTGTAGTTCGGCGAGAGAGCAAGGCATATATTTACTCTGTAATAAAACGTGCTTCCTCCGTAAGCGGGTACGAGAAAAAAGAAAAAAAAGTCTGGCATCAAATATTTTGTCCTACGTCGCGCGTAACGAACTATACGTAAATATACGATCAAGCTTATTCTCGAAATACGTGTGCATCGCGTCGTTTGATGGAGAGAGAGAGAGAGAGAGAGAGAGATAGAGAGATAGAGAGAGTGTGTGTGTGAGAGAGAGAGAGAGAGAGAGAGAAAACGAAAGAAACGAGAGATAGAGAAACTGTGCTCGAACGTGCCTCGCCCTCCACTATATACGAACGTATATACTTTTGTGCGTATACAGTAGACGCGCATCGGATAAAAGCTCGATTCACATTCGACGGACAACGAGGAACGGTGGAGAGGAAACGGGCGAGAAAGAGAAGGGCGGTAAAGATAAGAGGGCACAAAGTATGCCACTTTCGATGCGACAGACCGTGGGTCCCTTGTCCCCCTGCGAGACGTCGTTCGAAATTAAACTAAATTGGCCGTGGATTTTCACGAGACAGGGACAACAGAGTGTTGCACGTATTGCTATCCTCCTGGTTGCCCGTTCACTGTGAATCAGCCGACGAAGAATGGCGTGTGCACGCACCACGGCGCGGCTAATACGCGTGCGTACACCTTCTCAACATAGTTCACTACTATTAACTCGGCCTTAAACAAAATGACGTAAACTGCCTCAAATAATTAATATATTAAACGAGCTAGCGCGCCCTCGACTTACACTTTGACTGAACGAATAACAAACTCCTAAATCTTGTGTAATAATTATATAGTATTAAAAGGGATCGCGATAAGTTAGTGGATCGCGGCGAAGAGTAGAGTGTTACGCGAATTCGTGTCCGCCGGCAAAAACGATGAAACGAGCGAAACAAAAAACGGGGTTATATAGATAACGATCGATCGGAAGGAGCGTATATAACGTGTTCGTTCAGCGAGCAGAAAGAGAAGAGTGACAGAGAGAAAGGAAGAAGGGCAAAGTAGGCGTGTAGCGCATTCTTAAACGAAAACTACATATTCTCACGTTCTCGGCAGGCGTATAAAATGATGCACGAGCGAGTGGATCATAGGAGGGAAATGTATCGATCCAACTTAATTACGTTTAACTCCTCGTTTATCGCCGTAAACGTTTATCGAAAAGAAAGGAGAACAATTCTTTCCGTTCCTCGCTGCGAATCGTGAAGGGTGTAACATGATGTATGCAACAGATAAGCAACACGCTTGGCGCGTACCGTGGTCGAGTAATGAGAGGGACAGGAAAAAGGAATGATGGAGGAAGGAAGGAAGGAAGGGTAGGAGTACCAGCAGGAACAGGAGGAAGGAGGGGGAGGGTACAGGGGGTGATCGAGACCGCGACGAAACAAACGATGCCGATCTCGTTGCTCCTGCTCTTGGACGAGAAGAAGATGGTTCGGATAAGCGAGGAGGAGGGGGGACCGTTCAAAAGACTAACGAAAAGAATACGCGCTCTCGAAAGAGACATATTTAGTTTTGGTAGTTTCTAGGATGGCAAGGGGAGAGAATTGAGCCAAGACGATCAGGAGAGGATGAGAAAAAAATTGCAACGGTGCTTAGAAGAAGCGGCAACGTTTGTATCCAAATCCATCCTGTCCTCTCGGCTCAAACTTAATAATAACGACGACGGGTGGGACGACGGTGGGACGATGACAAAGACGATGACGATGACGGGATGACTGGGTGTTTCGAAGGACGGTAGTTCCTTCGTTTATGTATTATACAGGACCGCGCAAAGGATATACTCGACAATAAGGATCGTAGCCGGTCGAACGCGATCCATACCCCACGAGAGTTAATCGAGAAACGGACGAACTCCTACGGCTTTTATGGCTCCGCTCGTAAAGATATACCCAAGGCTTTTTCCGTGGAACTCGGGACCCCTCCGAACACCCGGTCCTGGAACACTGGGGCAGAAACGACGACGGAGCGTAGATAGACGAGCGAGCGAGCGAACGAACGACGACGACTGGCTGGTCGGCCAGGTACGTGGTGGTAAAGGTAAAGGCTCTCTCGCAAAAGGACGGCAAGCGAGCGAGCGAGCGAGCGAGCAAACTGTGTGTGCCAACCGTGGCTGTGGCAGGTAGTTGCACGCCGGAAAGCACCGGTTGTACAAAGACCGACCCGAAGCCATTTTTGATCCACGATATCCTCTCTCTGCTTCCAGCCGAGACCCCGAATTACAATGTGTGCTCCCCGTGCGCGCTTCACCGTGGGTGGACCACCTTGGCTCTACGCGAATTTTTCTTAAATCGCCTACCCTCTCTCGATGAATGATCTCTTTCTACGGCAGGCCAGCCCGAACGGCAGGCTTCAAACGGATGGATGGACAGAGGGAGGGAACGGAGACGAGGTAGAGAGGACTGCTGTCAGCCGGCGAATGAAAAGCGCTTAAGAAGCTGCGCGGCATGCACCTAACAATGACCTTACCTACCTCTCACGCACGAATTGTTCGTATACCAAAAGTACACCGGCTGATTCGGCAAATATAACGTACGTTATTTTATTACGCTATTCTTCGTACGCGTCTCGTTGTATACACCCGGTTTATATACCAAAGCACGCTCCATGCCAACACACATACTTCTTTATCCTTATAATTCGTTTCGAGTTACCTAGAATCTTTTTCAATCTCGTTTTCGATCTTTCGCGATCTTTTTTTTTTTTTTTTATTATCATTTCTTTTCGACTTTTTTCCATTCCGCCTTTCAATTATTCGCATTCAGTTCGTAAGAACTGAAGAAATCACTTCCACGCCGAATCGTTAAAAATATTCTTTGGAATACGTAATATGGTCGCGTCGAATCTCCGATGGAAACGTATGGTCGTAAAGGGGTTGCGGTTTTTCGATAGTTAAACTCGGAGGGGAGATAACGGGATAAGTGAACAGATAGAGCGTAAAACGCGCGAGAAAGAAGGAATCGGAGAGAGGGTGAAGGAGGACTCGATCCTGGAAGCGAGCGCGCCGCGTGGCTATGAAAAGGAAAGACGTATCCATGCGTCACGAACGTCGGGATATTATAGGTTACCCTGTCTATCCACGGATAGTCTGAACGATAGTTCGAAACGACGATGGACCACGCCCTCGGCCTGCCATCTCCACTTCGACCAACTCTAGACGATCGATCCTTTCCTCGCGACAAGCTGGCAAAAATTACCACCGCAAAAGTCGAGCACGAAACGGGACAACTGAATACGCCCCTGGAGCGACCCGAGGCCTGCCTCTCCGGCCAATCGATACCATACCGTGTGCCTCTTCCGTTTGACAGCCTTTGCGACGTTTCTCTCCCTGCTTATTTCGTTCTTTTTCCTATTTTTACCATCTCTCTCTCTCTCTCTCTCTCTCTCGATTCTTCTTTCTCGTCAGCCAGAAACACGACATTTTTCCTTTCTCCTCGAACCGGAACAGGGGGATGGATTCGTATCGTAAGTAAAGCGAAACGAAGCATGCCTCGACGGTCGATCGCATTCCTTGGAACGAAAAAAAAAGAAAGAAAGAAGAAAAATAAACTCTGTTAATCGCTTATACGACACATCGGCGTGGCGAACGATCGATTGGCCCGAGACAATCTGATGTGCATGGGGCCCATGGTTGGCTCCACGTGCCATCCGCTTGCTCGCTTCCTGCTACATTTCTGATCCATCCGTTTCCGCGAAAAGCGTGTGCAACTTAACGAGCAATTGTTCTCCTTCTAGTTCCTTGCTTTTCGTGATTAATCGAAAGTTTCCAATTGCTGCGCCACTACCGTGTATCTGCCTGTTGGTTGGCGCGTTCGTTAACAGCGGCGTATGCATATGTGTGTGTGTGTTTACTTTGCTCGATCGTTCATTAAAATTCGAGCCGATGCGCGTGTTATTTCTTCCCGTCACGGTGTTGTATTGGACTTTGGAGAGAGCTTTTACGAGGAACAGAGCGTATGCGTGTGCGTATGTTTACATGTGCGCCGCGTGTCTACCTTTTGCGAAACGCGCCGCGTGTCGCCTTGTTTATCCATCGCCGCCATCGCCGTCGTCGACGCTCTGGTGTGGCGTTGACGATCCTTTTCCTCGGTTCTCGAAAATGACTACTACGGGAATCTTCGTTTTTTGAGGGGTGAAGCTAGCTAATCAACTACTACTGTATTATCGGTGAGGAGAAAGGGAGGAAAAAAAGAAAAAAAGAAAAAAAAAAAAAAAACAGAACATACCTACGCATTTAAGATAATGTACAAGTCTCTAGTGTGATACATTTCTACGCTTATTCTCTTAACTGTAGTCATGAAGTCTAAAGTAACGATACCTCGTTGTGGTTTGTAACGCGGATTAAAAAAAAAAACAAAAAAAATAAAATAAAAAATACAAGTAGTTCTGTAATAACAATAATAAAGAAAAAAAAACAAGCAAAAGAAAGCAAAAGATTAAAAAAAAAAAAAAGAGAGTAAGTAAAGGAATAAAGAAGAAAAATAATGACGTAATGATAAAAAAAAAAATCCGCTTAGGCTGACCTTAAACTGATAAAAAAAAAAAAGCGATAAAAAGCTCGCAAAAGGCGCCAATGTACTCGTAGAATGGAATTGTCCGGCGGCAGACGTCCTAATTAATCGCAACACTTGAAATTGTAAACGACCGCCAAAAAAAAAAAAATAAATAAAATAAAATAAAATAAAATACCGTTCGACTTATAAGAAACACTGGATAATAAAAATGAAAACCCAGAGCGTGAGAGAAAGAAAGAAAGAAAGAAAGAAAGAAAGAAAGAAAGAAAGAACGAGATATTTGCGGATCCAAGAGATGGATGAGATGGATGCGTGGATCCAGATGAATGGATGACTATTTCAAAAACACGTGTGGGTTGATCGATTCGTCAAACGTATGTATGTGTGAATTTACGCGCAGAGTATTCGAGGATGTAGTGTTCGGCATGTACATAATTCTGTATATACGAACGAATCACTGACTGTACAATACCACCCAAATATATTTATATTTCATGTTAAAACAACTTCGATACTATTTATTTCTTCGTTCCAGCTACTGCTTCTCGTGTTAATCAAATTTGCCTATGCAAAATACGCGTTATAGAGAAGAATTTCTCTCTCTCGTGCCGTAGGAAGAAAGACAACGCTTGTGTTGTCTCCTATCGTAAAAGTGGAAGGAAACAGGAAGAAGGGGGAACCGTATGTAACAGTGATTTTCAGAGAACTGAATCGACAAATTTTACTAACGGCAATATGACGCGTGCGTATCGTCAAGGAGAACCAGTCCATTGGCGGCTCGTGTACGAAGTTTAATGATCACCGGGGATCTTCTTATTTTCGTTGTTATATTCTCGCCGTCTTCTTCCGTTTTCCTCATTCTCGACGGATTGCGTAACGCGCACGCGCTCGTCAAATAAATTACGTGCGATCTTATGTATCTTGGACACCGAATTACTTTCTACGTCGTAAAGAAAGAAAGAAAGAAAGAACGTCACAGGCTATCGTATTTATTTTAAAAGCGTTTAAACATAATTAAATGCAAAATCTTTTAACCTTTGAGCGCGTAACCTCTCCTATTTGAACTGAATAAACTTGCATACGAAAGGTGTGCGACCCCGGCGGCCACAATGAAATACAGGAACCACGCTTCCTGGTGCAATTTCAACCTTTTGTTGCCATTATTTTTGTCATGACGTTTCATTCTATTTAACATTCCTTCGGTCTGATAGCTGGTATTGTTTTTTTCAGTGTGCGCCATGGCCTCGCTCGATAATGTCCCCTATCGCGTGGAACAATTTGTTGAAAATACTTCCTTTTCTTTTTATTTTCTTTTCTCTAAAATTATCGACAAGCTTGCGATTAAATACAACCGTATAAATACGATGACTTTACGATTCTTTGTTATTCATGATATTCCGGCGAATACGCCACTTTCCGTAGTATACTTGCCATGACGTCATTAGTCTTCTATTGTATTCGATGACACGCTTCTATCGAACTCGATACGGAATTATAGTTGCCACGGGGAATTGTAGATTACTCTGCAACGTTTTACAGACACATATCATGGAACGTATTTTTACAAAACTTCCTGAGTTTTCTCATAAAGTTTTCTCATCTTCATAAAGTTGGATCGATTCATACGTAATAAAAAAAGACGCGTGTAGGATGTTGTAATTTGGAAAATCACTCTGGCATAAATAAGTTTGGCACGTATGATTACGTGTATAATATGCACTTATCTTCATACTTTCGTGTATANTTTTTTTTTTTTTTTTTTTTTTTTTTTTTGACAACTGACATATCGCGCACAAAGCAAAAATGCAAACGAAATTAGGGCTCGAAACTTTCGATGTACACGCGCGCGTTTCAAGTTTCGTATCATCGATCGTCTCCTTAAATGAAAGAAGTCCGGTTTGATTGCATTACCAAGTGCATCAAGGACTAGAGAGATGGTCAGAGAGTGTAAGCTACGTGAAGCGCATCGATATTTTCGAGCCGCAAATTTTCACATGTTCCTGCGATTTCCTTTTAGCGTACCGCAAGTTGGTACGCCATACATTCCGACCATCGTATATGTACCATTCTCTTTTTAACTTGTTCGTTTTTTAAACGAATAAAGGATATCTTTTTTTATTCGCAAATTTTTACTTGATATTTTAAACATTTATAGGAAATACAACTGCGTATATCCATTATTAAAATATTTTTGAAAAATGAAAGATGAAATAGTCGAAGTGTTTCCATCTCTGCGTCATTGAATTAATTCTTACGTATACAATTTGTATGCGAAATAATGAATATATCGTTATCGAATTAATTATACGACAGTATATTTGACAATAAACTTTTCATGTTTATATTTCAAAATAAAAATTTTTCGGCCATATGATTTTGTTCTATACATATTCTCAACGCGTTACGCCTATGCGAAGGCCCCGTATTCAGGACCCACATGGAACAGTGAAAAGGATAAGCACAAGAGTCTTGGTTCAATTGCTGAGTTAACAATCGGGCAACGATTCGCTATAACGCTCCAGGTAACTCAAATAACAATTTTTTTTACAGATTTTATATTCGAACGTACATTTGAACATCTTTAGAGTTGTCAAAATCAATTGACATTGAGAAGAGAAGACTAGATATTCCAAGCGCCGAAAGAGGAGTATTGATATTGCAGCAAGTACGAAATCTAATGCACTTTCGTTCTTCCCACGCGTTCCAATCAATATTAGGTTACTATTATGATATTTTTCTTTTGGAAATAAGAATATAATCTTGTGAAAAATACATATTAATAAATTTTTTATTTTTTCATCTAGAAAACTATTAAAATATTATAAGAATGTACCTTTAATAAAAGTTTAAAGTTTTTTTTTTTGATAACTTTTAACCTTGGATATTGATATTACCATTGACCGCGAAGAAATTGCATTTTTAAATTCAATAAAAATAATTTGTCTAAAAATTTCTAAAAATAAATTTTATTTATCCCTGCTAATATATTAAAAATTATATCGAAATATTATTAAGAGAACTATATATCGAAATACTTGGAATAAACGATTGTTTTGTAAAAAAAATTATAATATATGCAGTTTTAAAAATGATTGAAAGATTATAAACTAAGATTACAAATATTTAGATATCATTATTGTCAAAGTATAACGAAGGTTAATTATTTTTATATTGACATATAAAAATTTTCAGGTTTATAGCGATAGGTTCCTTATTCATCCTAATGTCTTGTAGGATTTCATAGGATGCTAATGCATCGACCACCTTGTATTTATTACTAGCAATATTATGGAAATATTTCCTAGGAATCCAATAATTTCATTGGATGATTATATCGAGGTATATCGTTCTTTTAAAATTCATCTTTAAATAATTTTATAGTATCATGTACTTTTGAAAACAAAAAATAATTTTTTTCTATATTATATATTATATTTTTATTACATACAATTAATTCAATAATTATTTGAAAATAAAAATTTAGATATCAGATACTCAGAGCGCCATCTATGAATCGCATAATGTGGCTGCTCTCTACGAGAAAGGCATGAGTGAAATGCCGTAATATTTGTACGAAACATCTTCAAACGTGCTTAAATTCGTGAATATTAAATGTGAGTCGGGAGTTGGTGTTAAGTGTACTATGTATTATTTAGACGTTTCTCTGTTAGTACATTCAATTAGTTTTTAAATTTTTATTCATGCACATAACTTAACCTAAATTTCGAGAACGATCTATATGAATAAAACTCAAAGTAAACAGTTAAATACGATTAAGTTAAATATATGCACTATAAAAAGTACATTGTTTCAAGGAAATATTATCTTTTTCTTTCATAATTTCATGTTTGTTATTTTTATGATTACATAAAATTCGTAATTTCCTACGTAATCAGATGTAATAATTCTTTATTTGCAATTTTTACACTATTTATCATATATTTTTATATAACAATTGTAATTATTATATCTTCTAATTATTTGGAAAATTTTTTATAAAAAAACTTTTTTTTTGTTTTTAGAATATTACCACATAATCCTGGTCTTGAAGTGTCAAGAGTTTATTTAAAGAAAAACATTCTTGAGTCAATAAAACAATTATTTGGTGAAGAAGGAACTAAGTATACTATTGATATCCTGAAATATAATCCAAAAGAACTTAGATGTGTTTTAAGGTGCACCGATGATTGTTATGTACGTTTAAGAGCAGCATTAACCTTAAGTGAAAAATACGAAGGACAACGTTGCACTTATATTATTCATCGTGCTTCGCCAAATTTATTATCATTTTGTGCTGATAGTAGGAATTATAAACATTAAAATATAAAGATTTTGGACATAAAAACAACTTAAGTTTGAAGAAAAACCAACTTAATTCACTTACATCATTTTCTAAAAGGAAAATATTGATTCTTTTGTTTTATATTAATTTTTTTTATTAATTATTCAACAATGCCATTCGTTCATAAGGAAGGTAAAGATACTATAATCTTTGCTTCAAAGGAAGATCATGCAACACCTAGTAAAATAGATCTTCCAGAACCAGAACCAAGTCCTGGTCTTTTGTTAGCAACTGGAGAAATCAATTGGAATTGTCCATGTTTAGGAGGTATGGCTACTGGACCGTGTGGTTTGGAATTTCGAGAAGCTTTCTCTTGTTTTCATTATTCAACTGCAGAACCAAAAGGTTCAGATTGTTACGATGCATTTAAAACTATGCAGTCATGTATGGTGCAATATCCAGCGTTATATGGAAAGAAAGGAGGGTCTTTAGATGATTTAGATGATGAAGAAGATCCAATGGATGAACATAAAAAAAAATTAGAAAATGAAAACAAAGTCACGCATTTAGAATCAAAAGTAAAAGAAGTTCCTCACAGTTCTAGTATCGAAACAGGAATAGAACAAACTAATGTTAAATGAATGATTGTTTGCTTGTCAGTAAATAAATAAAATGTAATGCATTTGCATTACAAAGTTAGAGTAAATTTTTACTAGAATTTAATAAAATAGAATTTCTAAAGTTCTTACAAGAAATAGGTTGTGCAAGAAAGCATTTTTGAAATAAAATATCTTTAAATATTGTTTTCCCGTTATTTTGTTCTCAATTTTTAAAATTGATACGCACGCATATATTTAAATTATATTATTAATGAATTAAATTAAAATTAAAATTTAAATCTCGTAATCTTACAATGATTATTTTTATTTAAAGAACAAAGTGATGCTCAAACATATTAAATTAATATTTTTTTTATTTCTTATTTTTGTTCTTTGAATTTCAGTTGACTGATGGTGATATACTGTATATATTGTAATCAATAAATTGTTCCACGAATTAATAAATTACCATCTTATATATGACGCACGATTTAATTAAGGAGAAAGATAATTTTTTCATGATGCGATATCAAATTTGTCCTATTTGTTCGTGCCGCGACAACAAGATAGTTGACGTCATTGCCGTCCGATGGCAGTGCGATCTTTCTCTGCGAGAAAGATGGAACCAATGTGCTATGACGTCAACTTTATGACCTCCCCTCTTTTGTTCCATCCCTTGGGACAGTCGGTCTCGTGTATACAACCTCTACCACCACGCCGCGGTCGTTTACCACCACCACTGTTGTAACGAGTCACTACTACTACTAGCTTCACCATCGTCATCGTCATCGCCATCACACCATGAGTTTGGCGTTCGTCGATCGTTTCGTACGTGTAGAAGAATGATGTGTTTTCGTTTCATAACGTTAAGTGAGTGAAGAACGTATGTTGGTGCATTGATTTCGATAACGGGAGAATAGGAAGGAGTTACTACGAACAAAGTACGGAAGAGACAATTGGAACGAAGAATTTCGTGACGAGTGAAGGCGGATTATAAGCTGGATACGTTCCTTGGCAGTGACCGAGAGTATCCTAGTATTGTATCATCCGAAAAAAGTTTCTCTAAAATTTTTGACTTGCCATGGATCATCCGAAAAAAGAGAAGAAACACAAGGAGAAAAGAAGGTGAGTGAATCGCATGAAAATTAAAACTCGGTGTACCCGTATGGACATTACGTTGCTTGAACCTCGAATTTTCATAATTTTCACCAAAAAATTCGAGTATATTGTTAATTATGTCATTCTACCTTGTTTGATCGCATGATTGTTCGTAGACACTGTTTAGATGTTGGAATTGACGAAGACCAAAGACAAATTCAATGTGTTGCGCGCGCGCATGTCGCGTTCTATATGCGTGAGTGAGTGAGTGCGTGCGTGTTTGACGCAATCGCGTTTCCTCCGAACGGTAGTCTCTCTCTCTCTTTCTGTTTCTCTCACAACTCTTTCTATTCTTCTTACACTCCTGATATTTTCTTCTCCCCACCCTTCTTTACAAGATTACTTATGCCTCTTCTCTCTAATAATCCGATCTCTTTTCATTTGCTCTCCAGCTGCGATTGCATATATGCATCGCGAGCGAAACTATGAAAGCAAAAAAAAAAAAAAAAAAAAAAAAAAAAAATTGCATACTAGAAAAATACAATTAAAAATTATTTATCAAATTGATTTGTAGATTTACGTAGATTGGCACGTTATATTGGGAAACCCGTAATACCTCGAAAATCCGAGCGGGGATTCATCGATTTCTCTTTTCTTGCGCTGAAACGCCATTTGAATGAATTTTGCGGTCAAGCAAATCGTCATCTATTTGACATAAAATTCTTCTAATATCGAATTCTTTTAGAATAATTTCATATTCTTGTTTTAAAAGAAAGTTTTGTTGTCTTGTGTGCATATTACGTTGTATTATATCGCGATAAGAAAACAGAAATTACAAAGATACATAAATCGTATTCAACAACTTCTTGTTTTTATTTTTTCCACGTGTATTCATTCTAACGCAAGCTTCATATGTATATATTGGACTAGACAACGTAATAAAATTATGAAATAAAAAAGCAAAACAAAACAATATCATCCTAACCTGAAAAAGTACGCATTGCCATAAAAAGTTAATACATATTTTTATATATATATGTATATGTATACGTATATATATATATACATATATACGTATATATACGTATATACATATATATATATATGTATATACTTATAAGATATCACACATCACAATGTTAATATGTATTTTCATAGTTGTAGTTTTTATAAATCATGAAATTCCCATTTGGAAGCTGTACACGTGTGCAATAGATAAATTTCTATCGATCGTAAAAATAGCATCGTTTTCTCGGAACCATTAAAATTCAGATAAATCAAGAACGCTTGTGTCACGCGCATCATGTATGTTACTTTCAAACTCGTCGCACAATCAAATGAACCACATGGAGATAAAGCGTACTTATTTACATGTACGTCCGTCTCGTTTTCCATAAAATATTCCACCCTGTTTAGAAACATATATACACGTGTTATTGACATTTGTTTAACTTCCGAAACGATCGATTAACGGGAGTTTAATGAATAAATTAATTTCGATCGACGAACGATCAACGATCCAATTGTTTCTTAACAACCGCCAACATAAAGAGCAATAGTTATCGTATCTCGATATCATTGCGACGTTCGAGGGAAACTTGTACGTAAATTTTCACACATAGTGTTTAACACGTATATATTTGCCACGATGAATGTGAACGTTTTTTATGTATTACGTGAATTCGTAATGATGGTTCGGTTGTTCGTATAGCCCCATTTGGAGGAAAAAGAGAACTCTCTCTGCTTCAGGCTAAACGTAGATACGTATTTCTCTTGTACCATGCGATAGGGACACGTACACACACACACACACACACAAACACGATCGTGTCCGTTCGATATATTCGGATGACGAATATATATATATATATATATATGCGACCTTCTGAAAACTTTCTTTTTCCAATTAGTCTTATACATTAACAGGTTGTTTATACGTTCGACGAACTATCAAATCTCGGTTATTTTTAACTAAATCTCTTATCCGTTCAATTTAGCGTCATGTCAATTTCGGGAAAATTTTTTTATATACCGGTGCGATGACCTGAATAATCAGTTAAAATTCCTCGTATCGAAATCATTAATAGCAATGAAAAATATCCACGTAGAATATTTTTATCCGTATTTCTATATTATTCACTTCTTTGCTATCGCATTATTAAGATAATTTATATATAAAAAAAAAAGAAAAAAAAAATTTACACGTGGAAAATGAATATTTCCTTCGAATATATTCGTGCATGAAATTTTCTTTCTTTTTTTATTTTTATTTTTTTCATTTTTTATAAATCATTTTATTGCAAAGACACAGACAAAAAATACAGACAAGTATCTCTGGATAAGATAGAGACTGTTTATTGCTTGTTTTCAATCGTTCGTTAACCGACAATCGGCGATATTTATTTCGATCGAAATGACGCTATATCCAAAAATTTAATTTTCAACTTTTATCAACGCTTTTACGTTTTTACGTTTTTTAGGTATTCGAAAAATGCAATTCTTTATCTTTATCTCGAAGATTGATCATTAGTCTCGATCGCCCTTTCGAAACATTTACACCTAGCCAATACCTTGAATATTTCTCGAACGACGATTACTATTTAAATCGTTAAATCGGGCAAAGTTATTCAGAATCAAGTGCCGTTTCCGCATTCACTCGCTTGATTATAGTTTCCTCGATCAAGGCTGATCGCCGTGGCGTATCGGTGATTGGCGCTTGATACCCGTTCCCCTTCTCTAAATATACAAGATCTATAGGTACGTATAGATTCATTGCGATTTAGCATGTTGGAAAATCGCGAAATCGTGGAGAATATACATATATACATATATATATATATATATATATATTTATCTTAACCGATTCCGAGGAATAACCTTGAATTATCGGTATCGTTTATAATAATATCGGTCAGTAACTAAGAAACTGGAACAAGAGAATGTTTCCATATATGTATATACATACGCATATACATAGTTTATACATTATATAGTAATAATTATCTCATTACGTAGAGGGATTCGTTCGATAACGATGGAAAGATTTTTTACGCGAAAACTTTAGATTTTTCGATACCGATAGAAGGGAGATTAAAGTAATTGGAAGATTAACTGTGATTCGTCGGAGAAACGAAATCCAGAGAGACTGGTCTATCGTGTATCGCGATAGGTGGTATCGTTATCACCGGAAGATAGCCATCGTTCCAAGTGTGCAAGACAACAAGGTTTTGTGTTCTCGGTTCTAGTATCGCGTGAACCGTCGAGCCAGCGAAAATTCGATCCCGCCGTTGGAACGATTTCTCGAAGTGCGTTTCTTGGATAGGCAGAATGCCGTCTCGTGGCTATCCCCGACGGAACACAGTCTTCTTCCCTCTGGGATTGGATTCGTCCACCGCGTCTCTGCCTTCTGAATCCAACCTGCATACACCGACGTACACGCTGCTGCGCGATCGGTTTTAACAAAGAGACGCAGGTCGAGATAAAACTCGAAGCGAGAGGAGGAAGAAAACTGAACGTGAGGGGAGGAACGAAGGAAAGTCGAACGAGAGGAGTCGGGGCTCGTTCGAGGCCGATCTCTCTCATAGAAAAAGAAAGAATCGAAGAAAGGAACATCGCGTGGCCGTCGAGCTCCACCACTTTACACCACCACCACCACCACCACCACCACTACTACTACTACCATCGCTTCACGATAAAAAAAGAACGCGTGGTCGAGGAGGAGGGGGAGGAGGGGGAGCGAAAGAAAGGAAAAAGAAGAGGTGCAGAAGAGAAGAGGGGGAAGCAAAATCGGGCCAAAGTTTTATTTCGTCGTCTCGTCCGTTGCTTGCGAGTAACGGGAAGAGGAGGAGGAGGAGGGTCGGCGCCGGCGTTTCGTTGCGCGGCGTAAAAAAATCTGGAGAAGGAACGCCGAGATCGATCGGCCGCATCGAACGTACGCACGTTCCAAAACCGGTCGAAGCGGCGATCGAGCGCGATGATCGCGCCACGTGTCGTGCAGCACCCGATCGTTAGGATGCCCGATAACGAATCCGGTCGTTGCACCGAGTGGACGGCCAAGCAGCCGGCCTACGCCGCTCTCTACGACCACCCTCGACCCACCCTCCCTTCCTGCCGATTCGCTCGAGCAACGCCGATCCAGCAACCCCTCCCGATTAACGATTATGCCTTCACGGGAACGGCTTACGGCCATCAAATACTCTCTCCCAACGTTGGAACGATACCTTATCACGCGCCCCTTCCGTGCGTGGGACCGACCGTCACCGTCGACTTGCAGTCCCAGCGCCACGGCCAGTTTCGCCATCATCAAAATGCAGGAGCAGGGAAGAATTGCCAATTGGGTCCGGTCGACGTGGAGGATCTGGCCCTGTACTTCGAGCCCGAGAAATCGCAGACCGGTTGCCCGTCCCGGCCAATCTATCGGCCATCGATCAACTCGTCGAATTTTCGTCGGGCAACGAGATCGATCAACAACGCGTATCCGTCGACGAGCGACGAACAATTGTCAGAATTTCCCTCGAACGTTGCTCACTTGCCGATGTGCAACAATGATTGGCTCGACGGACAATTTTGCGACACCTGTCCGCAACAGCAGTTCGCTTTTTGCACGGAGGAGCGATGGCTCCAATGCCCGGCGAGCGACCGTTGTCCCCTGTACGACGAAGCTATCTACCCCTATGGACAAAGTACACCGGTTTTGCCACCGTGCGTCTACGAGGATTTGGGATACCGATATAACGGGGACGAACAAATTCTCGAGGATTATTTGTAAGTTAATTATGAGGTTCATTAGGAGATAAAGGAAAGAAAGGTTTTAAAGTTTTCGCGTTATATATCATCTTGGAGAATTTAATTGAACGTTAAGTTACACCGAATAAGAGTACTATAACAAGGTTTCTTCTTCGAGCGAGAATTTAATTTCTTAATTATTTCGTATAATCATGTCAAAGAATTAAACGACGCGCGTTTCCACAACGAAGAAGAACAATTATTCAGGAGGATTATTTGGAAGGAGGTAACGTGGTCGGTAAGAATTCGATGGAGTTTCGAGGGGGATTGCAGTAGAGAGAAAATTGTGGTAAAAATATTTTCAAGAAGTGGAGAAAAGAGCAGTGTTCGAAGGTCGTTTTGTAGAGGAGATAACAACCATTCGAGATAGTCGAGACGTGACAACACGTATTTGATGTAAATCTCACCTTTTGCCCGATATTTACGCCATTCTATATATATATATATATATATATATATATATATATATCTTGTTACAGACAATTATAACGTCACAACATTTTAAAGGAACCAGATAGCAAAACACAGTCGAACAACCACTCGAAGTAGAATGCAATTTTGCGATCGAGCGTCGAGATATAGAAATAAGTCTTTCAGGGTCGCGACTTTTACTTACTAGCATGATCGTAATTTTTATAGCTTCACAGTTATTCAATCATGTTACGCAATATAGGTGAAAAAAAATTTACCTATCGAGCGGAATTGTTAAAAGTATGGCGTAGAAAAGTAATATCCATTTAGCGGCGCAAAGTTGCACCGCACCCCCTTTCAAGCAAGGGGTATGTTGTAAAATCGAAAGGAACGATCAAAAAATTTTTTTTCTTTTTCTCTTTTTTTTTTTTTTACAGGAGCAACGAGAAGAGGAAGGAGAAGTCTCGCGATGCGGCAAGATACCGTCGAAGCAAAGAGACGGACATTTTCACGGATCTAGCCGCCGCCCTTCCCGTAACACCGGAACAGGCAGCTCATTTAGATAAGGCCAGTGTGATGAGACTTGCCATCGCCTATCTTAAAGTGCGCTCGGTGGTCGACTGTAGTAAGTGTGCCGACGTTGAACAATTTCCTTCATACGACACCTTTAATTACACCCTTGAGAAAATTCTTGTCATTCTATTATCGTCGTTAATTTTCAGTTCCACGCCCGATGACCAAATCCGAAACGTTGAACCAAATGGACGAATTATTTTCCAAAGCTCTGAATGGATTCATGCTGGTGCTTTCCAGCGATGGAAACATGATCTACCTGTCAGAGAACGTGAGCGATTATCTTGGCATTTCCCAGGTGCGTTTCCCGGTAAAACGAAAGAAATATTTACCAATGATGGAAAGTTGGAATAGAAAGGAGAGAGAGAGAGAGAGAGAGAGAGAGAGAGAGAGAG